AGGAAAGCATTCTGAGGAGACACGATCTTATCAGCCATCACCGAAGTGAGATCTGTGTTGACCACCCTTCATGATGCCATACATGGACAGAAACAACTTTGACTAACTGGCCAGTCCATCGGTCTTATTAAAGTAAAAGCACTCTTCCTCTGGGACTTACCGCCCAGCAGATCCTCTATTCAGCTAACTACAGGAAAGGTCCTCACCGGCCTTTTCGCACAGGGAGAGAGGGAGAGATTCCATCAATTCCACCTCCATCACTGAGTCCGACGGTGAACGAGGCGGGGGAGTACAGGGACGTGAAATCTTCAACCGCAGATCTTCACCTCCCGCCTTAGATCTTCCACTTCGACTTGTCAGCGACTCTCCAACGGCTGCACCCAAGAGCATCAACCGACTCGCTCCCTCTGTCATCTCCTGCCTGTTTGCCTGCACCCAAGAGGGGAGGAAGTTTGTCCACAGACGCCAAGAATCTGAGTAACGATGCCGTCTGTGCTGGTGGACGCCACGGCCTCTCCGCTATACAACGAGGAAGCGCCTCACACTGATGCTCCCGCCCCCGAGCGCGCTCCTCCCGTTCAGCCTTTTGACTTCTTTGGGTTGAACTTTCTTCTGAGCAAGCCAAAGGCCAAGGTGAGGAACACGCCACACGAATGCCCGACAGGGTTCATCCTATCCCGTGCTTCTTGGTCTTGCTTCTGCCTTCAGGTCGAGGGCGCTGACTTCTATGCGTTCATCTTGACCCACCAGCTGCTGTTTCTGGTCCCGGTGGCCTTCGCGTCCTACCTGTTCTACAGCCGATACATCTTCTCCCAGTATACTTTGGACATCGACCAGACCTGGCCCTTCGCGTCCTACCTGTTCTCCGTCCAATACATCTTCTCCCAGCTGTCCTACGACAACGGCAAGACCTTTCCAGTCTATGACTTCGGCGAGACCGTGCGACCCCTCATTATGGGCCTCTCTATCGGGACTTTGGTCCTCTTGGCCTTGTGCTGCTGGCCCTTCTTCAAAAGGATGTCAGTCCTGGCGCCTCGGAGTGGTGCGCAGTTCCCCCACAGGAAGGCGGGGTGGCAGCTGACGACCCACATCATCCAGCTGATCCTACTGAGCAGTCTCCTTCCTTTCCTTCCGTGGTTTGACGTATTTCTCTCTGAGATTCTCTATAAGATTGCCGAGAACTTTCATATAATTGACGAATGGGTGTACGGGGTTGTCGCCGCGCTCTTCCCCATCGGTGTCGTGGGATTGCGGGTGTTGCTTTTCGGGCTGGTCACTCGGTTTCTGGGATTGTATGCCATCTCGGGGGAGAATGCGACTGCACTTGCCATGGCCTGGGGCACCGTGTACTCCGACACTATGCGGTGTGTCGCTGTGCCCTTTCTGTCTGTGGTGGCCTTATCTGCGACTTCCCTCTCGCTCCTCTGGCTCTTCGGTCTCGCCGGGGCCTTCTGCATGATCGTTGTGTTGATCCGTCTGGTTCTGTCGCTTTTCGTGGCTGCACCAGCAAAGACACAGGGTCCATCTCGTGGCTGCCGTCTGTCGGCAGCCTGTGGTGAGCAATCATATGTGTAGCGGATGCGAGGGATGGGTTGGCTGGCTGCTCGTGGGTCATGCATCTTTGGTGATGTATGTTTGTATGTGTGTATGTATGTGTGTATGTGGGTCTTTGGCCAATTGTAGATAGATTCATGTCGTGTGTTGGGACTGTGTGCATGTGTGTGTATATGGCTCAGATGGTCGGTCTGCCTTGCTGTGTCCATGTGTGTGTGCATGTGTATCTATAATGCTGTCTGCACTGCCTAATCGATCGACTGGCGCGGCGTGTTGTGTGCGTCGCCCTGCCTGCCCTTCGCCTCATTGTCTGTCTCTCTGTCTGTCTCTCTGCTGTATTCCCTCCGTACCGTTCATCTCAGTGAAGGGATCTGCCAGCGCACCGCTGGTCGTTGTTTGTTCAAGTTGTGTCTGTTCATTCATTAGTGAGTACGGTGGCTGGACTGCAATGCATGAGTGACAGTTGCTGCCTGCGAGTGTGTCGTCATCCTGCGTCAATGTTGCGCGTAACGCTCTGGTCAACTTGCGGACTCTGTTGTCGCGGCCCTCTGTTCTCTCTCAACCATTCATATGACGTCTCTACGCGGCATGATTGCGTTGGCCTTGAATTGAGATGTGATAATAATAATGAGGGGCCGGGTGGTTTTGCACCACCCCTGCTCTCGCTGTTCAACTATTGCTGCTGGTGATACTGGGGGGGCTGTCCTTGGTGGTTCACCGGTCGGTGACTTAGTTACTGCGTGCGGGTGTCTGTGTGTGTCTGATGGTGTGCGTGTGTGGATGGAGGGACACACGAACAGGTCGCTTTCATGTTCGGAATCAATCAATCTCGCTCACACGCTGTTGACGGGCAAAAAGGGCAGCACATCGTCACCCCATGCTGTTTCCCTCACTGCCACACGTTGGGACACTCACAAAACGACAACATGACAACATGATTCCGCCACTACCATTCATCCATTCACTCAGTCATTCACCCGCCTTGATTGACGCACAACCACACCCACACGCCGATCGCTCCGTCAATCTGTCTCTGTGGGCAAGTGCCCCTGTCTGTCTACCTCTCTGTGGACGAAAGCAGAGGTCCATCACCACACCACTAAACCGGCCACCTGGACTCTCTGGGCTCGCGCAGGCACGCAGAGAGCGTCGGCCCACCCCACGCACAATACAAACACCGCAGCACACTACGCAAACAACCACTCTCGCTCCCTTTCTCTGCCTCTCTCCCTCCGAGTGTCATTTCTCGCTGCACCGACCGTGTCATTTCTCGCTTTTTAGACAAGGGCTGCCCGATGCGCGCAGAGCCAGGGAGAAGATACTCTCCTTTGCCAGCCCTACACACCGACTTCGCGACACCACATAAATCACATCACGCGGCACTACCATCCACTCAGAGCGCACCATCGCACCCGACAAAAGGCACCACACCCACGACACTTTCAGATACGCCGCCACTCCGCCACTCCTCCTCATACACAGACACACACAAACACTCACACACGCACACGCGCACATACAGACACATACAGACGCATACATACAGACGCATACAGACACACACGCACACACGCACACAAACACACACACACACACACAGACATACAGACACAGACAGACACAGACAGACACAGACAGACACAGACAGACACAGACAGACACAGACAGACACAGACAGACACACGCGCACACACGCACACCTCCTCCTCCTCACACACATACAGACACACACATACAGACACACACATACAGACAGACACATAAAGACAGACACATACAGGCACATACAGACACACGCGCACCCACAAAACTGGAACTGTCTTAATTAGCCACATAAAACGCCGCTCACTGCCCCACCGACCTGACTGAAATGTGGCTCTGTCAAGTCAGTTTTTGGCATAGCAGACGGAGAGCGAGGCGGTGGTTGGCGCCATGACCACCTGCAGCTCGCACAGGTCGCGGACCTCTACGCCCGTGCAGAAGGGCTGGTTCGTCTGCGTGCTGATGGCGCCCTCCTCATCGTTCATCCGCAGACAATACCTACACACACACACGCACACAGAGAGAGGTGAGGCAGCTGTGTGAATGTGGGTGTGTGACGGGCTGGCTCACTCGAAGCAGTATTCGGCCGTGATGTTGGTCCCCGGCGACTCGTGGAGGGTGTAGTGGGGCCCGATGATCATGATGCCCTCCTCACTCTCGACTCGGCAAGAACCGGTGCCAACACTCTCAAACGCTGACAACCGGACACGGACACGCAGAAAACCGTTCACCTCTGTATCAGCTGTCTCGGTGCCTCTGTGTGTGTCGTCTGCTCACATCCATCGACGAATCTGAAGCACTCGTTGGCCTCTCCGCCCATTGCGCCGTCGGGTTTCTCGTTGAGGATGACGAGGCACGAGTCGGTGGTGGCGTCGTGCTGGATGCCCTCGCACACGCCCAGGTCAGTAGTAAGGTTGCTGCACAGACGGGCCTGCATAGAGCATCACACACAGACACACACACGAATGAACGAATGAACGAGTGAACGCGACAGAGAATGAGTGAATTGGCTTACGCATTCAGCCACAGGGACGCCAGCCACGGCGACTGCACATCCGTGGAGACATCCAGATGGCATCTGCATCACACGCAATGCGACAGTGAGTCACTGTTCACAATGCTCGCGTACAGATCCGAGTGACGTGCCCACCCCGTCCTGCACAGGGGGGCTGTAGAAGTCGAGTGGCTTGCCGCCAGACGCACACACGCCAGAGCCCACACGGGTGAAGCCCTCGACGGCGTTGGGCGCGGCCACCTGTGCCCGGCACCGGGGCGCGACGGCAATGATGCAGATCTCGATGCAGATCAGGTGCAGCACCACTCGCGCGACCATCCTGACGGCTCCGGGGGGGACGTGGCGGCCAAGGGGGGGAGGTTGGTTGGTTGGTTATTGTGTTTAACGAGACTCGTGTCTGTAACCCCGAGGGGATCCTGTCCAGGTCACGCACTAAACTAGCAGCATGCACATGCATAGAAGCATGCACACGGCCTGTCTCCGGCGTGGACTTACACGAAAGGGACGATCCGCACGAGCTGAAAGCTCGCGTGAAAGGAAGATGGAGCCTAGTACCCTAGCCCAGTTGATTAAACGCACCCCAGTTTGGTCTACGAAACTCGCGTTTCTTCAACAGGGAGATCTATCAAGCCGACAGTGAGATCTCTCCTTTCTTCCATCTGGTGTCAGCTCCCTCGTCCCCCTCTCACGTAATCGGTGGCAAGCGGCCTCTGACTGACCTCAACAGACAAGGCTCTCCGTCCTCTTCGCTCATCTTTTCCCCTCACACGATGGCGACTGTTCTCATGATGATGATTCTGTGTGTGGCGTCGACCAGTGTCGCCACGGAGGCAAGACCCGCACAACAGGTGAGTATACACCCCCCCCCCCATGACCCAGTCATTAGATTCTCTGGCGTGCACGGCTGATTCGTGTGTTCAGGTCCAGTTGCGTGGCCTGCAGGTGTCCCCTCCTCGCAACACGTCGCTGTCTGCGTCAGAGTATGAGGCGCTGGTCGGCCTGATGGGGGGCGATGACACTACACAAGTCACCTCACTCTACCGGTAGACACACACATTATGCCATCAGACAGCCAATGGGCAGATTCCGTCTATGTGTGCGTGTGTGTATTGAAGGACGTCTGTCCACGGCACCAACTATAGCGACCTGCTGGACAACGTGGGCGAAACAAAGCCTCTCGTCTTTGTGGTCAGGAAGGACAAGTATGTCTTCGGCGTCTACGTCAGTGACGGCATCCAGCTGCCCGACGACTTGACTACCTGGCACAACTACGGCAGTGATGTGTCGTGGTTCTCAGTGGCCTCGACAAACCGACCGAGATCGAGATCGACGAAGAGGATCAGTATGTGAAAGTGGCGGGGAGGAAGGGGGCGTGGAGAGGAGGGATCGGTGGGGGAAATGCGAGGGTAGGGATCGGTGGGTTTGTGTATCTGGGTTGGGGTGGCTCTGTCCAGCCTGCTGCCGACATCCGTGTTTGCCAGCAGTCCACTCGCAGCAAATATCTGCCTGAGGGCTACACGGGAAAGAGGGATGGTTATGGCAATGCTGTGTTGGGCGGGTCGCTGACGTTCATAGCTGACGAGATAGAAGTGCTGCAGACGCCTTTCATTTCGTCAGCGGCGCAGATGGGTGTCTGTCTGTCAGTCTGTCTGTGGCTGTCGCTATTCCTCTTTTCGATGTAAACCAGCCGTGAGTTGTTCGTGTCGTTCATCTGGGCGGGTCACTCGTCTTCATGGCGGATGAGATAAAGGTGTCCCCAGACGCACGTGGTGGAGTAGTGGGGGAGAGAGGGAGATGTGGCTCTCCCTCTATGGTGCTGTGCTGACATAGCCATCCACTTATCTGTACCGTCCTCTCTGCGCCCCTGCCTGCCTGTCTGTCTGCCTGTCTGTCTGTCTGTCTGTTTGCCTGTCCTCTGAGTGCAGCTGATCTGTCAGCACACTGCTGGTGCCCCGTGTGTCTGTTTGAATATGTGTGTGCCCATGTGTGTGTGGGGGGGGGATGCATGTGAGTGTCTGTGTCTGTGTCTGTGTGTCCGTTGACTGGACCAAAGTGAAAGTGTGTGCGTGTGTGTGTTATGTGCGGTGTTGTTTGTTTGTTGAAGTTAGTGTGTGTGCGGTGGCTGGACTGACTGTAATGACTAAGTGGCTGTGGCTGACTGTGTGTGTGTCGTCATCCTGCCCTGATGTGCTTCTGCGAAGGCGAGTGTGAGTGTGAGTGAGTGAGTGTGTGTGTGTGCTGATTGAGTGACAGCCGGCATGATTACGTGGACCCGGATGCCCCATGAGTGATTTAATGATATGCGCCAATGATACAGTCGGCCGATTGGTTGAGTGCATTCTGTCGCTTCGCCCGTGCAGCCAACGAGGCCGCTAGCAGCTCATCCACACACGGGATGCAGGACGGATGTCATTCATGTGCTCGCAGACTAATACGAGTTGGGACTGCGCATCGTGGACACTTACTCGTTGCTGGGTCGACTTGGAAGACAGTGTGCGTGTATGTCGATTTGTCTATTCTGCGTATGCATACGTATGTGGACTTGTTACCCAGTCGAAACGGATGCGACGTAAGCCATCTGATATCACTTGTCAGCAACATGGGCCGTCAGGTTGGTTGTCTCAATATTACTTACATTTGTACCAATCAGTCCCCTTCCCCCTTCCTGTCCGCTGGGCCGTCTCTCTGTTTCTAAGTCAGGACGCGACGCGCGGACAATAGATACACCAGCAAAATCGCAAAACGGCGGTCAGGAGAAGCAAGTCACACCAAGCAGTCAAGACGGTAAACACACACTCCTTCTCTCACTCGTCTGTTGATAGCGCTATCAATCGCGTGAGGAATCGGTGACGGAAGCCATAGACAGTGGATGGATGATAAACAGATTGCACTACAATACATAGCTATATGGTACACGCCAGCAAAAAGGCATACCGAAAGAAGCCCCCTCCATGTACGCGTCTCGCATCAGGTGTCGCTTCTGCCGCATTGATGGACAAGTGATGGCTCGACACTCACTCTCCCACCGTGCCATCTGTGCCTCCCGAATTCTCCACCTGTTTAACACGACAGCAACCGTGACGTCCAGCTCCGAGCAGGCCTCCCGGCATGGCCCCTCACCTCATCGGTTTGCCCGTCAGCTTCCTGCGCATCCTCCCCGCCCTCGAACAGTCTCCTGGCCAGCGGCCCCAGCACTCGCCTCGCCAGCGCCGCCGTGCGGGGATACGTCAGGGCCCATGATGTGTCACCATCGTCACTGCCAGGCCGTACGGTGCACGGCGGCTCGGTGGTCAGAATGGAGACGTTGCCTTCGTTGCTGAGAGGGCTGATGCGGCGGGACAGGACGATCCATGCCAGGAAGGGCCGCTCGCTGGCGTCGCCGCTGGCTTCAGGGGACAGCAGAATGTGCCTGAAACAAAGGGCAAGACACAGAGACTGGGCGTGTGGGCGCTCCCTGGTCCTGCGCTTCTCTCCCGCACCTGAATGCAGTCTTCTCACCAGCAATGTCCGTCTGGAAGCCCACAGACCCATCTGCCGCACTACCGCCCTGCCCCTCGCCACCGAATAGCTTCATGAAGTGGCCCCCACATGCATCCACAGGCACACTCATGCCGTGCTTGGCCGTGCCCCTCAGCCCCTCCTTCCAGCACACCAAATTGACGCTCATGAACGCGCTGAAATGGGGATGCACCTCGCGGGCGATGCCGTTGTCGAGGAATTGCAGCTGGGGCGGCTCCTGGCCATCAACCACAAGGCCGCGGCATTCGACTATGGGGTCGGTCCCATCGCAGTGAGATGCGTAGGGGTGGCCGGGGACGAGAGGGGGCGCAGGAAAGGCCAGCTGGTTGGATGCCTGTCGGCTGAGAAGGAAGTACTGGCCTTGGTTGCTGTCGTGGACCAGGGAGAGGGGCCGCTTGCAGCCGTCGCATCCCTGGTTGAGGACGATGCGGTCACCGAAGAGCATGTACTGACGAATGCTCTCCGGGTGGCTCATGAAGGCCCTCCCGCTGCCCATGCTGGTAGTGGCTCGTCTTGAATTGGCAGTGGTAGGCCGCCTTTCACTATCCCTTTCACGCAGCCGGCGATGAATGCCAGCGTGAGGAATCTTTCCCATCGGTCGAAGCTGCCGCTTTTCTCGAAGACAAACAGGCCCCTGCACATACAAACAAGAGGAAGACAGACAGGCAGCGTAGTGTGGTGGGTGTGGTGGCGTGTGTTCCGGCTGCTGTACTAGTACCTGAGGTAGTACATAACAACACCGTCGGCCTCATTCCCCTCGACCTGTATGGCATTGCTGTGGCGATTCTCGAGGCGTATCAGAGTTGTTGTCTTTGCCTTTTGTCCAGCCACGTGTTGATAGCGCTCCCACAAACACCTGTACAGACAAAAACGGAAGCAGTCAGTTCGTTCTGCGTCTCATTGGACTGTGTGTCGCCTCTCACGTTCTTCCTGTGTTAGTCCTGTGGTCCCTGGTGAGTCTTCGAAAGGGCAGCAGCACGTCGAATGGAAGAAACAAGGCCACCGAGTGAATTGCAGGGGGAGGCAGCTCCTGCATTGGCTACACGGCGATGAGGCGTCACATAACTGAAGAGAGCAGCGCTGACAGGAAAGGTGGAAAGGGGCGCGAGCTCAGCTCACGAAGCAGTCTAAGCTCGCGAAAAAAGGTCAGAGAGCAGAGTGTGAGAAGCAAGCTGGTATTCTTCGCGCCGATAGATCCGGATATATCGTATGTCCGATATTGTTACCGACAATCACAATGGAGTGAGTCTTGACGACCGTCGGGACTCCACTTCGGGAGACCCCCCCGCCGCTCCCAAGCCAGCCAAGTACATCCCGCCTCACCTGCGCAGGAAACTCGCCGACGAACAGACCACGGGCGGCGGCGGAGGCTCGTCCAGCGAGATCAACAGGGACGGGGACGACCGGGAGCACCGAGGAGGACGTGACAGGGATAGAGATGACGACTACACCAATGGGTACCGCGACAGAGGCCGCGACAACGACCGTCGCGACATGGGCGGCGGCTGCCGCCGCGACAACGACCGATTCGACAGAGGGCGGGATGACCGCTTCGACAGCCATGACCGCGACAGAGGGTTCGACCGGCGTGACAGCCGCGACAGAGATGGCGGCCGCAGCCGAGGGTTCGGGGGAGGCGGGGGCTACGGCGACAGAGACCGATTCGACCGGGGATTCGACAGAGGCGGAGGAGGCAGAGGCTCATCCAGGTGCGATACACACGGAAGACAGAACATGAGACAGGGTGGTGCATGTGTGTCGCTTTGTGTGTACGTGTGGTGTCAGGGTCAGCGAGACCGGCACTGGCTGGGACATTCGTGACGGCCGCAGATACATACCGGAGGACGTAAGAGCGATACCGACTGTCGACCATTTAGTTTATGTGATCGCACACGTTTGCGTGTGACTTGTGTGCATCACATCATGTGCATGCAGGAGGCGGAGCTCTTCACATCGGAGGGCAAGATGTCTACCGGTGAGTTGAGTAGCCAGCCAGCCAGCCAGCCCGTGCGTCGTCTGTTGTCTGTCGTGTGCACACCTGTCCTCCCGTCTGCGTGGTTGGTTGATCAGGTATTAATTTCGACAAGTACGACCAGATTCCCTGCGAGGTGACGGGTCGCGGTGCGGGGGAGCTGCCGCGCGTCGAGTCATTCCAGGAGATACAGGGCGTCGACGCACTCCTCATCGCAAACATCAAACGAGTCAACTACCAGAGACCCACACCCAGTAAGTGCGACACGACACACACCAACATGACACACACCATGTGGCTGTGCGTGTGAACCGGTCGGTCTTCTCTCTCTCTCTGTGTGTGTCTGTTTGTGTGTATTGTGTGTCTTCAGTCCAGAAGCACAGCATCCCGGTGGTGTTGGCTGAGCGAGACCTGATGGCGTGCGCCCAGACGGGGTCCGGCAAGACGGCAGCGTTCCTTTTCCCAATCATCGCAGAGGTCAGCCAGACAGCCAGCCAGCCAGCCAGGCAGTCAGCGAGCGATCTGCCACATCCACCGAACTGCATGTGTGGGTGAGTGCTTGTGCTGTGCTGCAGATGTTGCGCATGGGCCCTCCACCGCCCCCCGAGAACACCAGATACAACAGACGGTACTCGCACAAACAGCAGTCAGTTGACGAGGTATGCATGGAGGCATACAATGTTGCCGTGTGTGTGCATCTGTGTTGTGTGTAGTATGACGTACCCCGTGTCGTTGGTGCTGGCTCCCACCCGCGAACTGGCCATACAGATCTTCGAAGAGTCGCGAAAGGTACGCAATGCACACCACCCACACAGCCATCGTACGACTATCTATCATCTGTTTGTGTCTGGTTGCTGGGTGTCCTTTTTCTCGCCAGTTCACTTATGGCACTGGCATTCGCGCGGTGGTCATCTACGGTGGCGCAGACGTCAAGCTTCAATTCAGAGAACTCGAACGGGTAGCACACACACAGCACTCGCAGACATGTGCTCAACGCAAGCACACGCACGATCTGATCTGCACACCTTTATTCCATGCGTGTGTAGGGCTGCGACATCCTGGTGGCCACACCCGGCCGCCTGGTCGACCTCATGGAGCGCGCCCGCGTCTCCCTCGCCATGATCAAGTAAACGCGACACACATGGAAACCACAGCAAACCGAACCTGTGTGTGTGTGGTATGGCTGGTCATCTGTGTGTGTGTAGGTACCTGGTGTTTGACGAGGCGGATCGCATGTTGGATATGGGGTTCGAGCCGCAGATCCGCCGCATCGTCGAGCAGGAGGACATGCCGGACCGAGGCAGACAGACAGTCATGTTCAGGTACCCAGGGGCACAATACAGCAACGCAACCAACCAACCGGACAGCACACGTGAAGCACGCCGATGTGTGTGTCCCCTCCCCTCCCTCAGTGCCACGTTTCCGCGTGAGATTCAGCGGCTGGCGGCTGACTTCCTGGAGGACTACATCATGGTCACCATCGGACGGGTGGGGTCCACCAACGAATTCATCCGGTAGGCACTGGCGCATTGGCGAGAGGAGAGAAGAGACACAGGACATGTGTGTGGATTGCATGTGTGGGCGTGTTGTGTGCTGCAGTCAGCGTCTGCAGTACGCCGAGGATCGCGACAAGCAGCGGACCATCCAGAAGATACTCGAAGACCAAACAGAGGAAGGACTCTCACTCGGTGAGGGACGACATGACACGACACAACACCAGAGACACACAAACGACAGGGCACTGATTCCATCTCTGTTCTTTCTGTCGGCCTTTGCTGTTGATTCGTGCGTGTGTCAGTGTTTGTGGAGACGAAGCGCGGTGCGGATGCGCTGGAACACTACCTGCTGATGCACCAGTTCCCTGCCACATCCATCCACGGCGACAGATCGCAGTTCGAACGAGAGGAGGCACTCAGGTACACATATAGATCCATGCAGGCCCCCTGAGCACCACTCATCTTGTGTGTGTGTGTGTGTGTGTGTGTGGTTGTCTGTCTGTTTCCTCAGAGCGTTCAAGAGCGGGGACTGTCCCATCCTGGTGGCGACTGACGTGGCAGCCCGTGGGCTGGATATCCCCAACGTCAAGCAGGTCATCAACTACGACCTGCCCAACAATATCGACGACTATGTCCACCGGTATGGACACACACACACACACACGGGAGACTGTGGGTACGGTTGTGTTGCGCTGTCTTGTGGATGCAGCATAGGTCGCACAGGTCGTGCAGGCAACACGGGCACGGCCATCAGTTTTGTCAACGAGACCAACCGACCCATACTCAGAGACCTGCTGGGGCTCCTCGAAGAGGCGCAGCAAGAAGTACCCAGGTAGGTACCTACCGACATACACACATGAGACCCACCCACTCACTCCCTCACACAGGGAGAAGAACGCGCGTCACGCACCTGCCCGTGTCTGTTGTGGTGTGCTACAGTTGGTTCTCATCGATGGTCAACAGCTGCACTGCATCATTCTCCAAGTTCGGAAACAGGTAACGGGCCACGACAACACACCACACCAGCAAACCAGCAGCACCATTCTTCTCCCTCTTCCTGCGTGTGTGTCTTAAGGTTCGGTGGTGGTCGGGGTGGCGGTCGTGGCGGTGGCGGCAGTCGATTCGGCACAAGAGACATGCGCAACTTCCAGGGCGGCCCACAGGGACGAGACTACGCCGTAAGCCAACAAACACAACACTCGGAAGAAGCCACAAACAATGCGCACCCACCTCTCTCTCTCTCTCTCTCCCTATCTGTGTACCTTCCTCAGTCGTTCTCCAGCAACGACCGTGATCGTGACCGCGACCGCGGTGGCAGTTCGTCTCGCGCGCCGCCCCCCCGTGGGTACGAGCGCGACCGTGACATGGACCGAGGCCGTGACCGCATCGACGACATGCGCTCCCGCGACCGAGACAGGGACGACCGACCGCGGGGCCCCCCCTCGCGTGGCGTGGGCGGCCCGTCGCCCCGCCAGTCGCCATACGGCCAGGCCGACGACACCAAGGACGCCTGGGACGACTGAGGGACTGAGGGAGGAACAGACTGATTGGGTGGGTAGTGGGTGGGTGGGTTGCGATATGGGGTGAGGGGCTTTTGAGGGAGGGAAGGAGGGTGGAATTAGCCAGGAGAGGAGGGGCTGGGGTGGGGGTGGGGTGGGGGGATTGTTGTAGATGGATGGGTAGAGAGGGCCGGGGACGGTCCGCAGGTGTGCTGTGCTGTGCTGTGCTGTGGAGTGGGGTGCTGGTGTGTCGTGGATTGGATTGTTGTGTCATGCGTGCCTGTGCATACCTGAGCGGTTGGGTCAGACAGCAACCCGGAGTTTGCCTTCCCTCCCTCCCTTCCTCCCTCCCTTCCTTTCTGTCTGTCTGTTTTGCTTTTGATCAACACAATCCCCTCGTCCAGAGAGGCGGTGGGTGTGTCGTCTGCTTGGGCGGGCAGACGGACTGTTGGGAGAGTGTGAGCGGCAAAGCGACTGATTTGTTCATGAGACACAGCATACAACACACCGGCTCGCTGAGACGCACGTGGCGCATGAGGGGGATTGCCTCGTCGGTCAAGTCCCTGTTTTTGCTTTTTCAACACCATGTCTGTCTGCCTGCCTGCCTGCCTGCCTGAATTCGCTGCGCCTGCGTGTGTCCATGATATGATGGGTGAGTGGGCGGGGTCATGTGGATGTTGGCCGACTGCATTCTACTGCCTGATATACCTTGCTCCCATGCCACTATGCTATGGATGGACGCTCATGTACCTACTGGCTCTGTCTTGGTTGCACCGCTGTCTGTTTTGGGCAGTGAACACGGCGGCGTTCTCCATTCGACCGCTTGTAGCCATTCCTTTCCTCCGTGCCTTTCCCTCCCGATAGCCTGTTGCGATGATGCTTGGGGCCCCTCCAGACCTCATTGCGAGAGGTTGCGGACAGGCAGAGGCACAGAGGCAGGAGTGTGATGAAAGACAGACACGCTGCTGCCATGCTGTGTGCGCGAGTCAAGTCCGGGGAAGGACCGGTGGGAGGGCAGGGGGGGAGGGGAGTTTGAACGGGAAGGGACAGATATAGTTCTTCCATCGGTGTGTGGGTGCATTCTGTGTGTATGTGTATGTGTGCTTGTGTCCATGCCCGTGTGGCTGAGGGGCTGCTGGCTGCCCGACTGAGTGGCTACCTGCCCGCCTGACGAGTGGATTGGGGTGACCGATAGATAGTCCACTGGTGTGGTCTGCCTGCATGGGCTGTGTCATGGCTGGCTCTACATTCCTCCTCTCTTGGTGCTGCATCTCCTTTGCGGACGCATAATCGATATTGTGTGAGTGAACCCGTCGACTGAGTGATGATTCCCATTCGACCTTACACACCACGCACATGAGTCACGTGTTCATTCGCCAGCAGCCATACACTGTCCACAGTTAGCTACTGTGTCACGAGGCTGACACTCAACCATCTGAATGCAGGCAGCAAACATACCCGACAGCTGCACAGATGGATTGGCGAGGAAAGACACACGACCACGAGCAGCTCAAAACCGGAGGGCAAGCGATTTTTTAAAAAGGCCCCCACCACTGTCTCAAAATTTGGTTTGGCTGCTGCACTTGTTTCCAGCTCTTTCACAGTCCGCCTCTCTCTCGATCTGTCAGACACCCCCCCGTTGACAAGGTCTTTGCAGCGCGGCTGTCCCCCGGCTGCACCTTGTTCGTGTCAGCACCACACGACGCACCATGCCAGCCCCCGATGAGCTCGGCGGCGGCATTCCCGTCAGCGTTGAGTGCCTGATGGGCCTCGTGACCATCATGATCACCACTTGCCCACACGCGGAGGTACGGATGCACTGAGACGTGAATGCATCTGTTCGGAATCCGCCGATGCTTCGTTGCATGCATCATCATGTCTGCAGACGGGCAATGAGTGGCTGTGGGGCAACATGTGGAAGCACGTCAAGTACAACTTCAAAATGCGGTAACCAGAAGCCAGATTCGGCGCATCTTGTCGCGCTATGTACTCCTTTCTCTCTGTGTGTTGGTGGTTCGCATGGCTGCAGGAGGAGCATCACTCCGCGGTTCATCGCTGATTGCATCAGCAACACCATCGTGGCATATCTGGGGCTGGGGATCGTGCTGGATGCCTTCTCTGGCGTAGGGGGACAGACGGCCTCCCTCCTGGCCGCAGGGCTGACGGTCTACGCCTGCGATATCGACCGCACCAACGTCGAGCACACAACACACAACGCAAGTGTCCATGGTATGGCAAGCACATGTGTGCTGCTGATATCATAGCATGTTCATTCAGCTGTGTTCATCGCTGCGCTGTCTTCATTAATTGTCTGCAGGCAGGGGAGTGCTGGAGCGGCTGTTCATGAAGTGCGGGGACTACTTCAAGCAGGTCGCCAGCCTGGCCAGCAGATGGGCCCGCGAGGGAAAGAAGTTCGCCGCCATTCATTTTGATATGCCGTGGGGCGACGAGTACAAGAACAAGACATATGATATCAACAAGATGGGCGATGGCACGATGGTGAGTGAACGCAGAGACGCACCCATCCACCATGCCCTGTGTGAGTGTGTGTTTGTGTATGTGTGTTGCCACTTGTATGACTTGCAGTCGGCATTCAGAGTGCTGGACGTCGCGGCGTCGTTGACCGACTCGTTCGTCGTCAAGTGCCCCAAGACTGTCCCCATCGCCGATGTGGTAAGTTGGCGAGTCCATTCGAAGTCTCCGTGTGTCGAGTCCGTATGGTCTGCGTGTGTGTGTGTGTGTGTGTCTGTGTGGATGCAGCTCAAGCTGGCGTACTATGTCCAGTCCATCGAGAGTCGCGTCGGCACGGCGAATACGCCACTCGTCGAGGTCTTTATGAGCGGCAACAAAACCACCAAGGCCGTCATCTACATCGGAGACATCGCCAAGAAGTGAGATGGAGACGCAGACAGAGACACAGCCACAAAGCATAATGCCCACATGTGTGTCCGCAGGCGTCTGGCCGATATCCCCCCGGCCGCCCGCGTCAGAGACCTGACTCGCCAGCAGCTGACGATCGAGGAGTGTGCGAGCGGCATGAGTGCCCAGGGCAAAGCCGTCGGCTGCGCCAAGGTGCTGTTCGAGCCCCACGCGTAAAGCGCGAGATGGGGCTGCCCCCTTGCGAGTATGCCAGTGGTGACACGACTGTCGGGCGATAGGTAGCGTCGACAGATAGACGGACGGACAGAGCAAAGGACAATGTACGTGCGGGCGTGTGTATGATGCGACCGCCCCCGTTCGGTAGCATTTTCTGAAGACTTTATGGACATCCTTCTGTGGACAGTGCGTCGCCATGTGAATCTGGTGGATGGAGGATGTACACAGCATGTCAGTCATCAGAAGAAGACAGCAAACCCACGACGGCAAACGGGACAATTGATTTACACACCTGCACACATCATAACCATCCTCCAACACGGTTACACCTCAGGGTCAAGGGTCGAGTCATACGGACATACATCCATGCATCTGTGTGGTCAATCCATGAAAGAACTGTCCATCTCTACGGCTACGGCTCATGCACAGTGTTCGGCATCATCTCCACTTGTCGAGCCTCTGCCGAGCGAGCCGCTTGCTGCACACAGAGACAGACAGATGTCAGACACCGACCACAAAGACGGGTTGAAGTCATCATGCGATATCAGACATCCGGTGGTCTATGCAGGCGTCACGCACACTATGTGCACATCGCCAGGCCACATACATAAAGATGGATAGGGGTGTGTATCCAGCCATCTCTCCAGACCGATCCAACTAACAACCCTGCCCTCAACACACACCCCATCCGCCGCTTGCACGATCACACGCGGGGCCAGCCCAGGCCAGCCCAGGCCATCTTGGTCTTGTCTCATCTCAGCCAAGCAGGTGGCTGTGTCATGACCTCCCTCTTCTTCTTGACCGGCCCGCCACCCGCACGCTCACCCTGCTCATGCTGCTGCTGCTGCTGGAAAAACCTGTGTCACACACAGACACACACACTCGTGCACAATCGGATCTCATCCGCAGCCACTACTCTGCCTGCCTGCCTGCCTGCCTGTCTGATCGTGTGGTTTCTCTCTCACTTGATGTGGGCGTTGGTCTGTAGTCGTCCGAATTCGCCATTGTTTCTTTTGTACGCCGCGACGATCCTGCACACACATACAGCACCAAGCCGACCACGCAGCAGAGGGAAGACACGCAAGCAGACGACCATCCATCAAAAGGCAGCTGGCTATGTGTCAGTTAGTTGCATCAAGTCAATCGGCCAGAAGCGACGGCAGTACCGAAGTGGCCTTCCCATAAATTTCTGCTCGTCCAGCTGCGACAAAAAGCACAGAGTATTGGAGTGCAAGTCCAGGAGCGCAACGACCTCCATCGAGTGGAGTGAGTGTGTGTACCTCCAGTGCCTGCCTCAAAGCCTTAAACCAGACACACCAACAGGACAACACACGTGCGATGCGATCAGTCACCACGGGGCAGCCACGTGCCACATACACGTCCGTGTACGCACGAATGCAGCAAGGTGCGCGTCTCTCTCCTCTCTGACTCCCCTCCCCTCCCTCCCCTGCCCTCCCCTCCCACCGCATGCCCTCCCTACTTGGTAAGTACGGAACTCAACGTATGCCCGCCCCTTGTGGTCCGCTTTGGCGAACTTGGGGTTGGACGGCACAGATGAAGTGTTGGACTGGTGCGGGTCGGGCACGATGCTCAGGATGGGACCGCAGGACTGGAAGAACACCTTCAGGTCCTCAAGTCTCGCGTCAAACGAGATGTTGCTCACGAAGGCGAACCGCACTTGGTCCAGCTCGTCTTTATCGCCCGACGCCGCAGCTGGCGTCTTGTCGTTGTTGTCGTGGGCGTCGACTTCATCCTCCTCTGGCTGAGAGTCCTCGTCCCCGTACAGCTCTTCGTCGTCCTCATCCTGCAGGTGAGCCAGCGAGGGAAGCAGAGATCACACACAAACGTATCGGTGACTCCTTCTGATTGCTTCTGACTGTCCTCTCTTCTGGTGGTGTTGACACACGTACCATCCAGGCGAAGTGTTTGCGCTTCTTGCTCTGGTCCTCGATCTCTGGCTGATTCTCCTCGTTGCTCACGTCCTTCTTGGGCTCATCCTCCTGACACCACGAACTCACCACGCCAATACATCCATGCCCGTCTTCACTACTCATGCCTGTGTGTCTGTGGCTGACCTCTTGCCCCGCCTCTGCGTTCTCCCCGGCGTCATTAGCGGCATCGTCGGCCACATCCTCATCGGCCGCCAGCCTCTCGAGCTCCTCCTTCTCTTCCTTTGTCGGCGACGCTTGGGGATCCTTTTCCTCTTCCAGTTCCAGCTGCCACCTCTTCTTGGCCGGCTTGTGCTCGCGCTTAGGACCCAGCATACTGTCCTCCTCCTCCCTTCTGAGCTAAGCTTGCAGACCGATCGCCTCTGAGCTCGCGACGAAGAAGCGAAGGACAGATCGCCGACAGATCCATCCATGGGAGCGTTCCTCACTTGCGTGGCAGCCCTGGTTGCGGCCTCCCAGGCCACCGCGTCATGCCGGGGATGCAGAGCTGCCGATGGAGTGTGCTTCGCGGCGATAGATGCCTTGCGGCCTTCCTATGCCCGGCATGCAGCCCTTCCAGTCGGCCACCGGCCTCGTCAGGCTCTGCCGTCGCTCAATCTTCCCGCCCTCAGCCGGCGAACCAGGCGGACTATCCCGTCTGCAGCGACGGTGAAGTCTGCAGATGTGGCCGTGGCGAGCGAGACCGACAGTGAATCATCCGACAGCACTAATGCGTCGAACGCCGCTCAACGAGGGGATGAGGATTATGTCCCTGTGTGGATCCCTCGATGGGTGGTGCGGCTGTCGCGGCCTGTGTTGGTGCAGGTGGTGGCTGCGTTGGGTTTGTACTTCTTCCACATGCTGGTTCTATCCCGCAGCTGCATCGCCTTCCCTGTGCAGCTCATCCCCAACAAGTACGGCCTCTTCCAGTCCATCGGCCTCGACTCATGTGCCGGCCTCGTCGCACTCGCCGCCGCTTACATTGGGCGGGTCAGCATGCTCACCAACAGGGCCGCTGCACTGAGAGGACACCGAGATGATAAGGCGCTCCCGCCAGTCGACGGCAACCGGCCCAATGCGACGACCGCTGTGGTAACGAGCGGCGAAGACGGGCAGCCAGATCCTCTGCTGCCGCTGTCGCCCTATCCATGGAAGATCCCCGTAAAGTCGCGTCCGAAGGCACTGATAGTGCTGGCGCTGCTGATCCTGGCCTACTTCAGCTCGGGGTATGGCGCCGTGGTGTTCGAGTGGAGCCTGTATGGCCTGTCAGCACTGGGGGTGCCCATCAGCATCGCCATGCACAGATCACTGCAGGTCGGGCAGTCAGCCAGCCAGCCAGCCATGAGAAAGGGGCAAGCACATCTGTCTGTCTGTCTGTCTGGTTGTGTGTGCCTGCAGGTGCTGTTGGGTCACTTGTTGTGGGTGGGCACCGGCTGTCTGATTCTGGGGATTGGTCTGCGTCCGTTCTTCCCGCCCCGCGGCTCGTGGTACCGACTGCAGTGGCGCCGCAGTTGGCTGTGGTGGGTGGTGGGGGGCTACTACGTGTCGTCGCTCCTATTCAACGGCGCCGACGTCATCAACCAACTCGTGCTGCCACCATCGGTCTTTCAAGAGGTGAGTGAAGGAGGACCGGCCGACCAGGGGCATGAAGGGAATGACTAACGCTACACTTCTGTTTGTGCGCGTGTGTGTGTGTGTTCAGGGTGGTGAGTCGGTGGTGACCAAGATGATCAACCCCGAGAACAACGACATCCTGGCGCTGGCTGTGGGCTCGATCGCCCCCTGCGTGTCTGCCCCATGGTGGGAGGAGGTGCTGTACAGGGGCTTCACTTTGCCGGCTCTGAGCGTGTTCATGCCGCCGTGGGTGGCGCTGCCCGTGTCCGCGGTGCTGTTTGCCGTCCACCACATGTCGATCCAGTCGATGATCCCCCTGGCCACCCTCGGGCTGGCATGGGGCATACTTTACATGCTCAGCAACAACCTGCTCGTCACAGTACTCATACACGCCATGTGGAACTCTAGGGTCTTCCTTGGCTCTTTCCTCGGACTCTAATGGATGGATGGATGACGTGACTGACGTATATATGAGTGACGTAATGCGATGCGAACTGGGCCCTTGGTTGTGAGTGTTTGGTGCGTGCGGTAGGTTAGCATGGTGTGCATTCAGTCATTCATTCATGTCAGTCATACATTCACAAAACCAATCCATCCATCCATCCATGGTACAGCGAGATCCAGGTCTCAGCACATGCACGGCAGACACGACAGACAGACGAGCAGGAGCAGGCAAGGCAAGACACCACGCCGGGCCTGCAGAAGGCTGCAAAGGCAAACAAACTTGATCTTTCATCGCCCCCTGCCCGCCACACCAGCCGCTCACCCACCGCTCCCCTCTCTGGCTAAGCAAGCAGACTACGACCAGGGAGAGAGGGAGGGAGGGAGGGAGGGACAAGAGAAGCACGTAAAGCCGGCTGTCTGTCTGTCCGTCTATCATGTCTATATACATACAGCTCAAAGCCCCCCAGCCACGGTCGACGACCGTGGGGGACACGTACGGTGTGTTTTGTCGCATCGTATGCACCTAGCCTGTCTGCCTGCCTGCCTGTCTGGTGCGTACGGCGTGGAGTGGTGTGAGTAGGTAGGCGGGTGGGTAGTGTAGTACAGCTATGAGCAGCATCCGCCCCGGTCGGCCGCGACGCCCCCCCTGACGTTGTCGCCCTGGCTGAACGGCTGGTGGGTCGGACCCACCTTGATGCCCTTAACACACACAGAGAGAAAGAGACCATAGGTGTGGACGGGGAGATACAGACAGGAAGGCTTACATGGCCCTCGTTGGAGAGGTCGTAGACGCCAGCCTGAATGTTCTCGTAGATCTGACACAACAGGCAGACAGGCAGGCAACCGTCTTGACAGATGGGGGTGTGGCTGGCTGAGTAGCTGGCTGGTGTGCTTACTTTCCTAGCGGTCCATATGAATGCCTCCTCGACGTTTTGGGCCGTCTTGGCTGACGTCTCCAGAAAGATCAACCTGGCATTTGCACAGAAAGATGGGCATCGATGAGGTCATGCAGAAACACGCGGAAGCAAGCACATGGACGGCGCCTGCAGCTCAGCCCACCCGTGCTGTCGTGCGAAGGAAGCACCTGCCACAGACAGGTAGATAGATTGCGGCTGAGGATGTTGTGTTGTGAGTCTCAGCTAGGTGCCTACCCTCCTCTGTGGACACTTCTCTTCTCTCCAGGTCACACTTGTTGCCTGCAAACAACACACACGCAGTCTTGGATGGATGATGTGTGCACGTTATGTGTGTATCCGGCCCACCCACCGATGAGCATGATGGTCATGTGTGGGTTGGCATTCTAACGGCAGGCAGTTAATGCGTGGATGCATGGACAAGGCAGGCAGACAGACAGACAGACAGGCAACACACGACGGCTGAGAGATGGTTTCATCTGTTTGCTCGCTCAGTCTCTCACCTGTCTGACTTCCTCGAGCCATCGCGTCAAGTGGCTGAACGTGTCCCGCCTGACCAACCAACCAAGCACCCAGACAGACGACACAGCACACAATGCTCCGGTTGCACTGCCATGCATGAGTCTGTGGCCTGCCTCCTCACCTGGTGATGTCATAAACCAAAAGGGCACCCGCAGCACCCCTGCACGCACACATTCACACAGAGGGAGCTCTACGTCGTCGGTACAAGCATCCGACTCAGTCACCACTCGAGTACCTACCTGTAGTAAGATCTGGTGATGGACCTGAAGCTCTCCTGCCCGGCGGTGTCCCATATCTGTAGCTTGATCTGCTTGCCGTCGATGTTGATTAACCGCGCTCCGAACTCTACACCTATCGTGAGGTCGTGATCCGCTCGGAAGCGCTTGTCGGTGAACTGCAGCAACAGGCACGACTTGCCCACGCCTGCACTCACTCAACCACCAGTGCAGTCATTCATTCCACACACAGGAGTTGTGTGCTGCCTTTTCTGTCGAGGTGTGTGTCGGGTGTCACACCGGTGTCTCCGATGATGATGTACTTGAACAGATACTAAGAGATATACAGGACACCACACACAGCAGCAGCCATGAGGCATCCGACGGACAAGACGGACAGGCTGTGTCGGTGTCTGCACACCTGGTAGGGTGACATCTTGCTTGTCTTGTGCCGCTACGATAAGGCCGCTGCTCAGCACACGTCGTAGATCTGCAGACAGTCACCTCACACAGCCACGACAGGCTACAGAGCGAACAGGTGTGCGCCTTTCCCCATACGTGATTGCGGTCTGCCCGAACACGTACTTACACCGCCTCCTGGCTCAGTGGATATATGGCTCGGCCGCGCCGGGCAAGGGGCAGGGCGCTCACACGAAGCCTCACAACCGCTCGCAGTAGGCCAGTCGACCGAAGATGTTGCACGGCGTGCTTATTTGCCAGATCAGCGCACGATGAGCTCTCGCCTCAGGTGTGCAAGGAGGGAGAAAGGAGGAGAAGAGCTTCGTCTTCTGCGAGCTCGAGGGTTGAGCTTTTTCGTGTTCGGGTCGGTGTGAAACAAACACAGAGAGGCGATTCCAGCTGCTTGTGGTATACCACGCCTCTCCCGCGGCAGACCGCGGCACAAATCGAACAGCGAGACTCCTGCGAACGCACGAAGGCGGCCGGCCACGCGATCTTGTCTTGGCAGGCGGACTTCCTTTCTGCGTCAGTACCTGTGCCGGGATGGACAACTGTTCGCTGGAAGATCCCCACCTTTATCGGTTCAGCACCTGTTCGGTGTACATCGATAGCCACCACAGGGACATCCTGAAGGGCTTTGACGCGTGGAGGGAGGATGATTCTCGATTCAGAAGCCTCCTCAACGCGTCAATGGCAGAGAACCCTCGTTCCTCCACCTTCGACGACCTTCTCTGGGGCTACGTTGCCGTGTTTGGTGTTCTCCTCCTTACGACTTTCCTGCATACGGACAACCGCTTTCTCCGCCAATATCGACGCTTCTTCCTCTGGCCCATCTTATCGATTATTCTCAACGTCATGCTCGCCTCCGCCCTCTGCCGTCATGATCACTGGAGGTGGTATAAGAGGCAGCTTGCTGAACCAATCGCTCTGAGACTGACTTTGGAGCGCCTCAACGACACCAGCATCCCCGGCCCGCTACTCTTGCCCGACACCCAGACGTGGAAAGAGACGGAGACCTGGAAGGAAGGGTATAAGTGGATCACTCGGGACGCCAGCCGTGCGCGTGCGCTATTGAGCATGCTTGGGTCGACATCTATTTACGTGGTGGTGCTGACATTCTCGGTGACCATCCTGGCGCTGCAACTGTTCGCTAGCAAGTACTCCCCTCGACTGGTGAACAGCTATATGCGAAGCTCAGCCAATGTCCGCTGCCTCAGGTGAGTGACTGACTGCTGGGCATTCCATAAAAAGAGATGGTCCACTTTGCCGTTCGTTGTCTGTCTGTGTGTCTGTGCAGTATTTTCATCGGCTTCTTCGCCTACTGTATGACTATCATTTTCTGGGTGGGCGGCGAGGCCCCAGGAGACCAGTGGGAAGACTCATTCACACCTGAGTGGGCCATGAATACCCTGGGCCTCTGTAAGCAACCATCAGCAGAGGGGACGGACAAAAGCAATGCCGCAAATGCGCCCGCATCTTTCTCATCTGCAGATAGCATCTTCTTCCTGTGGATGTTGGTCTTTTTCATGCACAAGTATGCAGGCGTATGATACCAAGCAGATAGGTCACGCTGTATGTGTGCATTCTTCTTTGCTTCCTCAGCTTCCTGTGCGGTCTTCAGCTGCAGCACATCCTTCGGCAAATTGTCCAGGAGAACAAATCAACTGAGGATTCTTGCCATTGGATAACAAAGATGACGGGATGGGCCTTTGGAAGCGCGAAATCATTCAAGATGCAGATGGTGGACCAGCCGCGAGAGATCGATGAGACCGACGCATTAGACGACTTCGCTCTCGGACTTCGACACGCCGTCCTCGCCAATAGCAGTGGCTACATCTGCTCAGCCGATTTACATTGGCTGGCTCATCAGCTGCGGAAGGAGCGGCCGCCTCTCCAGCTGTGCGTGAACCGTCGTATCATGATGGGCACATTTGTCACAGAAGGAACAGTCCTGGTAAGTGAAGTATGGCTCTGCTCGTCGCTGTTATGTGTCTATCCCTGTATTTGTGCCTAGGCATGGGTTCGAGTGCATCCCGAGAACGACAGTTCGAGTTCGACTTCAGTTGCTAGCGCCGGTGACATGAGAGGCGAACAACAGCTGCACCGTGTGACAAAGATGGTGGATCGGGCCCTTCGTCTGAGTAGGGAAGATCACGGTAGCGACAGCATCTCATTCGGAGGTAGGCAAAACAAAGAGAGTGACGGAATCAGATCAGCCCACGCCACCTGTGACACAAAAGACGTCTCCTGCCTGCCTGTTGGATTGATGTGCGCTGTGACATGATCAGTTCGCGAGCTGACAGGCATCGCCGTACGTTGCATGACATCGTCAGCCAGCGACCCCCATGCAGCAGTCAGCACTATCGATCACATCAGCGAGCTCTTCAAGGACATCGTGCGCAACAAGCTCCACCATCACTTTGTCAGAATCGGCGGGGTACGTGTGCAGAAGAGGGGGAAAAGCAGTCATGCAATGCTGAGCGTCTATATGCGTGTGTGTATTTCAGAGACTCTACGTCGCGATGCGGTCATGGTCATTTGAGGAGCTGCTCGCCCTGTGCATGCACAGCCTGCGTTTCTATTGCCAGACAGATCTCTTCGTCATGGAGCGGTCGATCGACATGCTCGCTGACCTCGGCTTCATGTGCATTCAGGGGACGACCGGGCGCAGCAGTGTGCCCATCGGGCCATCAGGAGCAAGCCCACAAGAGATGAAGAGGCGTTTCGATGTCATCCAGACGCATCTCGATCAGCTGGCCGCAGATGCGCGCAGCCAATTTGCTGACAAAGGTAGCACTGAGAGACGTGTGATTGAGGAAGCTCTCGACCGAGCGCAGGATCTCATGAGGGAGGAAGATCCACGGGTAGTGACCAGACGGAGCTGGTCCCTTGCATGACTGAATGACGTGCTTGATGCATGGCTGTCTGTCCTCACTTGGGACACTGCACTGTGTGTCTTGTCTGTTTGTGGACGGGCAGCCAATCAGCAGCCTCGCTTGCCTGCCTGGCTGCCTGCCGGGTGTCTGAGTGTTGTCCTTCTGTCCCTTTTGTCTGTGTTTTGGGGTTGCTGCCTTGGTGTGCGTGGGTGTTCACTTGTGAGTGGGCTGGGCTGCGTACTGCACTCAGTGAGACTGTGAGGTGTCTATTTCGACCATTTTGCCTGGGTGCATCATGCAAATTGCACCCAGGGGATGTGTGTGTCTGTGTGAGGGTGTGTGGAGACTTTATCGACGGCCACGGCCACGTGCAGCTAGGAAGTCAGTTGGTAAGGCGTTTGTGCTTTGTGTGCTTTGTGTTGTGCTGGGCTATGCTGCGTGGTCGCAAGCTACATACGAACTATATAGCCGCGGCGCGATGAATGCATATGTTCGTGTCTGATGATGACTGACTTGTCTTCGATGATGCAGCCTCCCTTCCTCTCTGCATGTGGAGCGTGCGTGGGTGATTCCTGTTGCGTGTCGTTCGTTTGATTGTGCGTGAAAGACATGGGACTTGGCCGTCAGGCCGCCTAGGACATTCAAGGATGCAGTGCAGAAAGAGAGCAAGAGGGATCGATCACGTCTTCTGCTGCAGCCCGTTTGTTGCTTCATCTCACGATGATGTGGCGTCTGCCTTCTCTTGGTGTGACGTCGGCGTGGCATTGCTCGTCTGTCATGTCAGCAACACAACACGCCAGACAGACCAAATGAGGGAGGACTGCAGAGGGGGGTAATCTAGTGCAGTCAATGTACCGTCGGTGCATCAATCCATCCATCACTCGCTGTGAGTGAGTCACCGCACTCAAACACACACATCCATCTGCACTGCAAATGATCCGTCCCTCCGGTCACTTCTCGTAGGGTCGGGATCGTTTACACGGAAGCTGTCTAGATGGATTTGCTCACGCAAAGACACAAGCAATCGCAGAAACACATGCGCACCATACGGCATGGATGATCTCGTAGGGTCAAATGTGCAGGGTTCCAAACCCCTGAGAATCTGCGAGCTGAAAAGTGGCGGGAACGACGCGATGAAGGAAGCCACCTGACAGAACACCCTCCTGCGCCAAGTGCAAGCCTTTCATCAGAGCCACATAGCATATGGACGCCGCGGAGAGCGAAGGGAGTATCCGACTTCCGTCTGAGGCAGCCAACCAGGACGACAGCAATGAGCTCAGACACCGACACGCCAGGCACAAGAGGAGAAGGCGCATCTCCGACGCCAGAGAAGCGGCGGTCAGTCTGTCAGATCACTCCACATCACACACGCCTCTCTGAGACGTCACGGGCCTTCCCGGGTGCGTGTGTGTGTTGGCAGACATCCATCCAGAAGTTCTACCGAGAGCGGTTGCAATTCCGGAAGTATCAATACGAGATACTGGTCAGCAGACTGACGGGGGATCTATCTATGCGCCGTGTGAGGGCGCGGCGCATCCCCCTCTGTCTGTCTGTGGTTGTGTTGTTCGTGTGGTGTGTGGTCAGGTGCGTGGAATCATGACGGTTCGCGTGATGGCGTCGATCGAGGTGCAGCGTGTGTGGCGTGGCTACAAGGCACGAAGTGTTTACTACGAAGAACGTAACAGACTCGTGTTCAAGGTCAGCCAGCCAGTCGGCAAGACATCCAAGGACGGGAGAGCAGGGCAGGGCATGTATCTTGGTGTCATGGGTTGGTTCATCGATCAGTGGGAGTGGGACGATCCGGGACAGGAAGTCATGGTAACCAATCCATCCACCACACACACAGATGCACACATCGGTCTTTATCTGTCGTCTGTTGCTGTTGCTTGCTGTGTGTCGTCTTCTATGCTATGCAGTTGGTTGGAGGTGCGTGTGTGCGTGTGGACCTTCCTGATGAATGACGAATGAATGACGGCCACTCACCGCTGCTTTTGTGTGTGTGTGTCGGTCTGTATCTGTATCTGCATCAGACTTCACACGGGATCCATGGCGCGATCGTCTGGAGATGAAGTACTGCCGCCTGCGCCAGTGTTTCGTCAGACCGTGGGCATATATTCCGGGTAATGTATGGAGTACTTACTCAGCAGCCAGCCAGCCAGCCAGCCAGTCAGGCAACACAAAGATGGACGTCGTTTCAATTGTTCTGTGTCTGTCTGCCCGTGTACGTATGTGCAGGGACGTATGTTTTTAAATTCGTCGTCAATGGTGAGAAAAATGGAGCGGCCGGTGCGGTGGTTGAAGGAATGGATGTGTTGGCTCGTCTGTCGGTCGGTGTGATCTTCATGTGTGCAGGCAACTGGGTGTGCAATGGGGCGCTGCCGCTGGTTCGTGATGCCCACGGCAACATGAACAATGTGCTCGATGTGGCCCCGAAGCCAACCAAGGAAAAGAAAAAGACACCTGGCGGTCAGTGCACTCACCGAGCCAACATCAGCCAGCCACGGTACAGTATACCTTTGTTTCCGTGTGCCTGCTGTATGTATGTCTTGCAGAGGAGGCAGCAGCGGCTGCGAGTGGTGGTGGCCCCCGCACATCATCGAGCTCGGGCAGCGGTGACCAACAGCCGCCCGGCCCGCCAGACAACAACACCAGCTCCACCACACCACCCACCGAAGGCCAACAGCAGCAGCAACAGCAACAACAACAACAGCAGCAGCAGCAGGGGGGCCGGAGCAAATCGGAGGCGCAGACGCAAACACAGCATAGCACAACGGCAGGACCCTCTGCGTGAGCAAACAAAAGGACACCCACACAATACATCCGCGAATTCATGCTGTTGTGTGCTGTGTTGTATTGTATTGTGCAGTAGCAAGCAGCCGCCCGGCCAGCACGCCAACAATCGGACATCGATGTTTGAAGTGGCCCTGGCGCAGGAGGCCGGGGGTGAGGGCGACGGCCACCCACCGTCTGCGGCGTCCGTCAAGTCCGATGAGATCCCCCGCCGCAGACACCAGCAGCAGCAGCAGCACCATGGGGGTCATCACGGCGTTGGTATGGCCCGTGCCAACGGTCCAGTGGTCAAGGAGCACAGCCGCAGCTCGCCGTCACTGCGGCTCGGCTCACAGGATGGCGGGAGGGAAGGGGAGAAGCTCACGCAGCCACCGCACCCCGTGTCAGCCGACCAGATCAGCAGCAGGGTGCACGGCAAGCAGCTGGTGCATCAGGATGGCCTCACCAACCATGCCGTCAGCAACGGTCCCTCCAACAGCACCAACAACGGCAACAATGCCTCTTCCTCCACGCCCCAGTTCCCTCCCGGTGTGCAGTCGACCAAGCAGTTCGGGCTGCTGGCCATCCCGCGGCTCAAGCTGGACAACGCGCTGCACGAGGGGCGGGCACGGACACACCAGAGCGTCCTCAAGATGATGCGCGGATCGCACTCACAGGTCATCCTGTGAGGGTGGGTCGGGCCAGCCGAGCCGAGCCGACTGGGGAGCCGCCCTGCCTGCCTGTCCGCCTGTCACTTTTCATTTCCTTTGGGGGAGGGAAAAGAACGGGGAGGGGCGTCGGCCCGCCTGCCTGGCTGCGGTCTGAATGCATGCATTGTCTGTCTGTCTGTCTGTCTGTCATCGACTGATTGATTGATTGATTGATTGATTTGCCCGGGAGGGAGGGTGGGCACCGGGGTGGTGAGTGTATGAGGGATGTATGGGATGTGCTTGTGTGCTGCAGTGTGCTGCACGCGGGGTCCGGGCCGGGCGGATGCTGGCTGGCTGGCTGTCTGGGACTGTAAAGGTCATGTGATGGGAATCGATCGGCCGATGACTTACTTGCTCCGTGGATGGGCGGTGGGGGGGTGTGAGGCAGACAGGCAAGGCTGGCTGGCTGGCTAACTCTGCGGCAAGGAGGGGGGCTCTGGCTGACTGAATCTGTTATGGTACGTCGGTGATTTCTTTTTCTGGGCTGGCTGGCTGGCTGCCTTGCCCCCTGCTGGTCGGTCGCCAGTCAGTCAGTCAGTCAGTCAGTCATAGACACGGATGCATCCATCCGCCGGCCGCCGACACGTCGATTCATCGATCGACGCACCCGTGTGTGTACATGTAAGTGATGTCTCTCCCTACCCCCTCCCTCCCTCCCTCCTGCTGCATGCTGGATGCCCTGATGGATGGATGGATGGATTGGCTGATGATTTTGTGAGTGGTTGAGTGGTCGAGTGGTCGCCTGGCAGACAGACAGACAGACAGACAGCAAGCAGTGAGTGGGGTCTGGTGTGCGGGGCGCTGTCTGTCACTACTAACTAACTGACTATATGCTGATCTCTCTCGACATCGTCATCCCCATCACATCATGGGTGTCTGTGTGTATGTCTGTACGTACCGTACCCAGCTAAGACTAAATGTTAGGTCCGTGGAGGGACGAGAGGAACCAACCAACACACAGACTGACTGACTGACTGAGCACTGAGCGAGCTGGCAGGGAGCGACGGGGCGCACAGAGGCACATACAGACAGGAATGCACGGAGAGATGAAGCTCTTCACAGAGTGCACACACGCATCCACGTGTGGATGGATGGTGTGAGTCTGTCTGTGTGTGTGTGGATCTGTGTGGTACGTATGGCCGTAGTAGTTGTGCATTGCTGAGTGAGTGAGTGAGTCGACGGACCGACCGACCTACGTGAGCGGGTGGGTGACGGACAGATATTGAAATTAACCTCTGTATGCCTGATGGATGGATGGAGATCCTTGTTGGGGCAGAATGTGATGATCCATCTTTAAAATTGTCCACCAGTGTCCGTCACGTCACACACACATCCATCTCACCACCGCACCGACGCACACGAACGACGCACAGACAGACACGAATCACCCGAGACACACACGAGCATAAGCACGAACATGCACACAGACACATGAATGAATCGGAAAATTGATTGAGCCTGCTTTGTGTTTGCTGCCCTGCCCCATCCTTCCCTCCCTCTCTCTCGCCCCTCTCTGGCTGTCCGTTTGTCTGTCAAGACTGAGCATCTTGTGTGTGGGCTCCCCGAACGTCTTAGGCCACATGCACCTGTACGACACACACCGAACCGCACCTGTCTGTCTGTCTGTCTGTCTATCTGTCTTGGATGATTCTTAAGGAAAAAGAAGCACAGAAAGCGAGGCAACGTCCGCACGCACCACACGAAGGGAGGGAGTGACTACGCAGGCAGGCATCTACGCAGCGACATCCATGGTGTGGTGGGGGGTGGGATGGTTGTGGGAGTCAGTGCGGCACTTTCGACCACTTTCGCATGCAGGCATGCAGGCAGGCAGGCAAAGAAACAACACAAAGAAACAACACAACAAAGAAGAAACAAAAATGACAACAGACACACCTGCATATATCCCTCCGCCATCCATCCATTCCTGCCTGGCCGGACGCATCCACGCACTCGTACGTACGTACAAACAGACCTGTACGCAAGCGTATCGCTCCCTCTGCCCGTCTGTCTGTCTATTCATCATTCATCCGCCCCCTCCAATCAGTTAGTTGGTGAGTGACATCCATTCGTTCGTTCAGGCTTTCATGTGAACGCACCGTAGATAAATAGATAGCCTTCCTTATTGTGTCGTGTACGTATGATATGCAATGCAAACAAGCAAACAAGTGAGTGAAGAGTACGGATGGCATGGACGTCCGCAGGTGTCGTGTCATCCGTCAGGTCAGGTCAGCCCATGAAGTCTTGGTCGGCACCCCTCATCTGGCGGCTAGCCGTGGGCCCTCCAAGCAGCTGCAGAGTCACACACACACACACACCAAGCAGCAACAAACAGGGCAATGCCGCACAGGCAGACATAGAGGTGCACACCGTGTGTAAGCTGGCTGGCTGGCTGGCGCATTCGTGTCACTCATAGTCCCTCCCTGTACCCTGTGTGTGTGCATATGTGTGTGCGAGCGTGTGTGTGTGTTTACAGGTGCGTGTTTCCACATACTTCTGGGGTCGTGTCCGGCAGCGGCAGCCATCATCTCAGCCTTGGTGGCGTGGAACAGCTCCACATAACGGTGACCCATCGTAGCCTACGCAAAATCACACCCACACGACAGATAACCATCCATCCGTCCATCCATCCATTCAGGCAGGTAGAGCCGTGCGGCAACGGCACGGCCATACCCTGTTTCTGGCGATGTAGGCGCGCTGTGCCTCATCGGGCGAAGCGAACTCAACATACGCCTGCCCCAACCAACGCGCGCACACACACAGAGAGACAGAGACACAGGGTGTGTGGGTGCTGTGCTGTGCTGTTTTGATTGATGAGGCGGCCCGGCCTGCCATGTCTGTCTGTCTGTCTGACCTCGCCGGAAGGTCGTCCGTTGATGGGTGCGGTCGAGGGCAGCACAGCCAACATCTGGAAACCCGCAAAGAATTGCTGCACACAACACCACACACATAACACACAGACCATTTGTTTTGCGTATGGCTGATCAGCCCTCGTCTCTCTCTCTCTCTCTCTCTGTCTGTATGTGTGTGTGTGCGCGTGTGTATGTCTCAAATGCCTACCACGATGTCGGTCTCGGTGGCCGAGTAAGGCAGTCCGCGCATCCTGATGACGCTCTCGCCCGGGAAGGGACTCGACTGGTAACCACCCCCCCCACCATACTGACACACACACAGCGCACAGCATAACAACCACAACGACACCCGTTGAGCAAGGGAGGAGGAGTGACATTGCGCGCACACATGCAGTGCATGCCCCATGTAACGTGGTGTGTGTGTGTGTGTGAGTGGGAAGGAGCACGAGCGAGAGCGAGTATGTGTGTCTCTCGTCTCATCTCGTGTCCGTTCTTTCGTTCGTCCGTCTACCTCCCACCTCCCCTGGCCCGTATTAATGAATGCCCGCCAAAATCCCCAAGACGAATCGAATAGTGGTCCCGCCCGCCCGCTTAGCTCCCACCAACACATGCACTTGCTTGCCCGCCCGCCCGCCCGCCATTGTGCTTACTCCCGCCCTCTAACCAGTGAGGCAGACAGGAGGGGACCATGCCGCAGAGAGAGACGCTCGAACCAAAGGCAGCCAGCCTCCACACAGGGACAAGACATGACGTCGGGCCGGTCGCTGAGCTTGGTGAGTCGCAGTCGCAGTCGCCGTCAAGAGCCTCTCTCCTCCACAAGCCGAGTAAGCCCCCGCCATGCCACCATAAGCCGCACCCCCCATCCCCAATCCACCCAACCAGTTTGCCTATCTGTCTGTCTTCCTATTTACTGACGACCTCCCACTAAGCAGGCAGGAACGAGCCCCCTACCTACCTCCCTGTCTCCCTGCCTGTCGAGATATGGCTGCCTGCCTGCCTCGCTATATGTACGAATGCCTCGCTTGGCTAGATCAACTGGCCTGGCTGCTGCCTGGCCTGGGCTGCAGTGAGAGAATCTTCGGCCAGTGGATGGGTCTGGGGGGCGTGTTGGCCAGGTGGGGCGGCTGCAGGATCTGAGGGGCGGCGGGGCGACCGCGGGGTCGGCCGGGATGGACACCGACGCTGTTAGCCTTGGGACGGGGCAGCACAGTGGGTCCCAGAGGCACACCATCGACAGTAGTGGGCGTCCTGCTGTCGCCAGAGAGGTAGATAATGGCGCCAGCCTCTTGGTCAACACCACCGCCGTAACCATAACCATAACCAGTAGCAGCATTAGCAACATTAGCACCACCAATAGCATTAGGGCGACCACCACCAGTAGTGTTGAAGCATGCGGCGCCAGGGGAGGCGGGGTTTGGGTATCGGTGCTGCCTCGTGTGTGCGGTGTGTGTCATGGTGTGCGGATAGTGCTGGTGCGTCCTTACCCCCGCGCCGTACCCCGGCCCGCCAGGGCCCATGCCGCCGTACCCGCCGCCGCCACCCATTCCCATACCGGGCTGAATGAACCAATCAAGCAAAGGATCAAACAAACACAAGATCGTGGATATGAGTGTGCGTGTGTGGGGGGGGGGGCGCCGTTCTCACTCTGAATCCCCTCGGCTGCTGTGCGTGGACCATCTCGGCCTTGGTCGACGGGAACAACTCGATGTAGCGCGAGCCTACATGTGCACACGGAGCGATGCGAGAAGGCCCAATCACTCACACACACGGTGTGGATGTGAGTGAGTATGTTCGTGTATGTGAGTTTGTGTTGTTACCCATAGTCTGCTTGTTGAGCTCCATGCGCGCTTGCTCAGCGGTCGACTGACGCAGGCAGACACGCACAGACAGAAGGCCAGAGGCATGTTGCTGTTGTGTAGCTACTGCCATCTATAGATCCATGCCATGCGATGCGCACCTCCGAGTCGAATTGGACCCAAGCTTCGCCCGAGGGCCGTCCGTCGAGGGTGGTGCCGATCACCACATCCTCGGCCTTAACGTTGAAACCTACATGACCCCGCACCACACACACACCCCAGACATCGACACACAGATCTATACACACGTATGGAATGTGCCATCGATGGCTGTGTGTGTAGTCATTGTGTGTAGCAGGGGACAGGTTAAGACAGACAGTATGGTGGATACATCGCATCTGCCTTAGTTAATCCCTGCCTGTGTCTGTCTGCCGAGTGCGACAGATTGCCAACAGCACACGACAGCTGATGCACTATCCATACCCGGCTCGACCGCCCCTCACTCACTCACTCACTCACTACGATGCCTGGCCTGGCAGCCTGAGGGAGTGCGCCCCGGGTGTGTCTGTCTGACTTACGCTGGAAGAACTGGATGATGTCGAGATACGTTGCAGACCACGGCAGACCCCTCATGCGCAACACGCCCTATACACACAAGAAACGACACCGCCACACACCAACATACACACATTGCCTCCTCCCTCCCTCCCTCCCTCCCTCCCTCCATGTGTGTGTAACGTACGTACCACGGCTCCCCCGTGTGGTCCCCCCGGGTGGTCGTGTGGCCCGGGCGGTCCGCCCATGCCGTAGCCGCCCATGTCGCCACGCGTCTGCTTGACGTACCTGTCGTACTCGGTCGCCGTGCTGCGGAAGATCTCGATGTAACGGGTCCCCAGGTGGTGACGGTTCTTGCTCAACGCCTGGTCAGCCTGCACAGCACACAACACAGCACCCAGCCAGCCAGCCAGCCCGCACAGCCAACATGACACGGAATCGATTTGTTATGTGTTGTGTGTGTTGGCGAGCGTGTGTGTCTCCTGACCTCTGCGTCGGTGTTGAAGCGCACGAATGCCTCGCCAGTGGCACGACCCTGATGAGAGCAAGCAGGCAAGCAGTGAGAGGGGGGGGAGGGGAGTCACCACGTGTGGTGTGTGCGATGGCTTCCTTACGTCAGGTCCCTGGACGATAGTGACGTCCTGGTTCTGGCACTGCAGGGGCAGCATGAACGACACGATGTCCTGCTCGGAGGCACTGTACGGCAAACCACGAAGACGCACCTGATACGCAGAAACACAGCACACACACAGCGCACGACTATCCACCCCTTCCTCCATCTCCCTGTGTGTGCCTCTGTCTCGTGTGTCTTACAAATGCGCCATTGGATGGCATGGAGCCATTCGCAGGCTGGTCCATGGTGAGTGCCCCTCCTCTCTCACAAACGCGAGACCACAACCACCTGCACACAGCAAAGAAACAAGCACGACAACGGTCAGGTCAGCGAGTGCTTGTCACGTGACGGGCAGGCATCAATCCGGCGCGCCACCCCTGCGCTCCTGTCCTCCCTCTCTGTCAATGACACAACGGGCGGAGCTGCCCGCCCGCGAGTAGGGGGCGTGCAGCGGGGGACAGGCAGGCAGGCAGCTCTCCACCGCGAGGCATCCCTGAGCTGTCTGCCTTCCCCTCTCTGCATGTGCTGCCTCGCTCTCTGCGGGGATCTGTGGCTGCGGTCTGCCTGCCTGCTCCTGATCTTGGCTCTTCTCGTGTTGGCTCACCTTCGCTGACGGGTCTTCAGGCTTCTTCCTCAGGATTTTTTCGGTCACGCGAGCTAAGCTTGCAAACATTCTGTTTGATGCAGGATGCAGGATTGGAGCCCTAAGGTGTGGGTTCCCCCGAAAAGAGGCGTGCACGTGCAGCAGCGTCTAGATCTCATCGAAACGCTTTGTCGCTTCCGGCTGATTGAGATTTCTGTGAGTATCTTGTACGATGCCGTCACTGGAAGGTCAGCGCAAGCAAGCCGCCCTTCGCAAACAACAGCAGGTGGCGTGCAGGCGACACAGTCATTGCGTGGCGTATTGGGGTGCACCCACGCATCTCTGCTGGTGTGTTTGCGTCCTGCAGGGTTAGTTGGTGGCATCGCAATGGTATGGTGGAGGAGATGGGCGGCAGAAGCGGCGGGCGGAGGGGCAACGTAGACCGACGGGTAGTGCTAGAGCCGCCACTCACTCACTCACTCACTCACGCGCCTGCATGATGGGTGCATCCAGGCTGCCTGTGTCTGTCAGCTCGGGCTTTGTTGTTTTGTTGAGCCATATATAGCTAGACCCATCCACCAACACAGCCAACTACACACAGACAGACAGATGAATCTCTCTAAAGAGTTTGTCAATCTCTGTCTGCCTGTCTGTTTTGTTTGTGTGTCATGCGGCTTGTGATGCGTCCACTTATTTGTGCCCTTTGTGTGCTTCCTTCCCTCACGCCTCGGGAATCGACTCCCTGCCTGCAGTGTACATAAAAACAGAGAGATGGGCGGGCCGGCGGGCGGGCGGGCGGGCGACCATGAAGCCAGGACGGGCATGTGCGCTTCTGGTGCCATGAGGCCAAGTACAGTGCTTCCAATAGCAAAGACGTGTTGCACATCTGCGGTGCACGCACCGACTGGATGACTCAGTCAGACTCACACGAGGTGATCCCTCTACCTGTGAGATGCCCACCCACCACCCAACGCCGCTCTCTTCGCCTGGCTGTCCGTCTTGTCCGTCAATGTCGTGCGTGTGGATTGATTTGATTGATCGTGGGTTGCTGATGATATAATGGCCTGGCCTGGCCGTGCCGTGCAGTGATGTCTGTCTGCATTTGTTGGTGGTACGGATGTATGTGTGGTTAGTGGAGTGCAGTGCATGTGATGATTGATCGCTGCATACCTACTCAATCTGGTCAACTGACTGATGCCGTGCCCCGCCCCGTCCTTCCTATTTATTCTCTCTTGCGTACACAAGCTATGGGACTATCCCGACCAGACAGCCATCGCTGCTGACTGATATTTTTGCTGCTTTCTTCTCTCGGTGTGTACCTCTGTCTGTCTCTCCTGCCTGATTGTGTTGGGATGGATGGATGGATGGATTCGCTCCCTCGCTCGCATTTGCTCGTTCGGTAGCCAAAACGGCACGCCTCGTTTTAAGCCATCCACCAACACACACACCACCCACAGCACAGACAGCAGTTTTGTCTAGCTACCACTTTCGCCCGCCTCTCTGCCCCTCACCCTTGCCGTCCTCTCTCTTTCCCTCTCTATGTCCTCTCTCACTCATGTATGCCCCAACGACCAACCAGCATGACAACGTTCTGGGCTGCACAGAGAGCGAGACAGAAAGAGAGGGGTGGAGGGGTGAGGGACGATCCAACACATCAATCCCATCACATTACACGAGCACACGGATGTGCATGGGTGGGGAGGTAGCACGGACTTGGTGTTGGTAGCTGTTGCGTGGCTGAAGGGATGGTTGGTATGGATGGATGGATGCAAGAGACACCGGTAACGTTTGCCTTGCGCATGAACCGCTGATAGACAGCTCACGCAAATGACCATCCCATCCCATATCCACCGGAAGAATTATTACTGATACACACATGCTCGCCATTCACAACGTCGTCATGCCCAGCCACCACCCCCACTCACTTCTACTCGTATGGATGGGTGTGTATGGGTGTATGGGTATGTGTACCTGCCTACATTGCTGTCTGCGCGAGCCAGCCAATAGTGCAGACACACACACGCGCGCGCACACACGTTTCCTCATGCACATCGATGCGCAGAGCGCAGAACTGTCACGCCACGCCACGCCACGCCACGCCACACGCACATCCCCTCTCCCCCCGCACCCACCCGGTAATTACACAATATGCACACCAAATCGCCTGAGCTCCTTCTAGCAGTGCCATTTTTGTTCAACGTGGCAGACAGAACAACTCGTAGCTAGCAAGTCAGCAGGGCCCAAAAATGGAGAGCAATCGGCCAAAAACCCACGCGCACAGAGAAAGAGAGAGACGCATTTGTGTATGTCAGCATCGCATCGTACATGAGTGCAGTCGTGCCCTCCATGGACTTGAGCGACGTGCACACAAGACATGCACCGTGTGTAGTGAATGCATGCCGATAATCAATAAAACGAGGACCCATCGTCACACGAATGGTTTGCAAGCGTATGTAAAGGGCCGTGTGTGCGAGAGGGATTGATCGATCAACATATACACACCAATGACAAGACTGAGGCCGACGTTCGGCCAACAGACACAAACAAACAAGACACACAAAACAACACACACGACAAACAAAACAACACAAACAACACACGTGCACGAAGGCGACCCAGCGCAAGAAAAACCTGCCTCACTCATCCGAAGGCTCCATGGATGACACGACGTCCACCGACCCTCAATGACCCACCCACGCAACAACAGGCAGACAGGCACTCACACCCACGCCCTCACCCACACGTATGCAGCCGCCATCTCTGTGGGCCCATCATGTCTTTGTGGGCAAAGGGACAGCACATACATGTGTAATTCACTGAGCACATACATGTAGATGGACACTCAGTGACAAATCGAGGGAAAGCAGTCCAGCCACGCGTCTGCGCCATGAATGCAATCACCGATTCACGCATCGGTCGAAGCTGACTGTTCGCTCGTGAGCTTGCATCGTGCTCAGGAAACGAAAAAGCACATCGAATGGGTCAGTGGGGAAGGGGCACCTCACCACATGTCCTTGGAGTCAAGAGTGTTGCCGCTGTGCCCCTTGACGCGCTCAAACACGATCGCGCCGATGCCGTCACACAGCTTGCCGCCAAGCTGTGGGTCAATGGCGGGCTCAAAGTGCACGCCAGTCCACAGGCGGCTCTCGGCGCACACAGTCGCTATCTCGTCAAACGATTCCCACCTGAAGGAGATGCATCCATCCATCCATCCATTTGATGTGTCATTCAGCTGCATGTGAGTGTGTGTTTGTGGTTACTCACTCGACGATAAGGTCTGTCGTTGGCGACATGCCCGTCTCGACGAGGGATGATCCCTTGGGGAAATATGCCTTCAGCTTGCCGCTGATGTCGAAGCCCTCAAATGCGGTCTTTGCGAACTCCATCGTTGCACGGCACAAGCACGCTGACCCCGACGGATACTCTGATGGAGCGATTGAGTGATGGAGTGCACGGCGATCGAGGGAGGCAAAGGACACATAAGGACAAGAGGGTACAGTTGCACGCCTTGCTGCACCGATCGCACCTGTGTGTGGCATAGTTCTAAAGTAGGACTTCCAGTCCCTCCCCATGATCGGCTTGACGCCCTCCTTTGGCACGTACGCGGAAAATCTGACAACCACAATTGCATCCATCCATGTGTGTCTGTCCATCCATCCACGTGGGTACGTTTGTACGTTTCGTTTTGAAGAAAGTGTTGGATGAAGGACTGCGGTCTGACGGCTTCGTGGAAGATCTTCTCCTTCCAGGCCACAATGGTGGCGTCGTGCAGCAGCCCGACGTAGCCCAAGTCGATAGCCGTGAACTCTTCAAAGGTCATGTCCAACGGCTGACAGACACACAACAGCGGCACGTAGAATGGTTTGTATGTGTTTGGCCGGTTCATTTGCTTGTGTGCGGTGCTCACCTTGATGAGCTGGAGGAGTGTCGAGCCGAGGGAATACAGCTGAGCGAGCGAGACAGATAGACACAAAGACCATATACGTATACATGTACGCCGATTCAAGCATATTGTACATATTTCGCTCACTCTCACCTTGTTATCAAAATACTCTCCGATCGCCTTCTTCTTCTCTGACATACCGCCACACACGCAAGACAAGACACACGCGTCAGTCATGCGTGTCTGGCCCTCCATGAGTCAATCACATCCGCCGCCCGTTCACCGACCGTCGAGCTCGAGTGATTCTTCGATGACCTTCCAGGCCCTCTCCTTCAGCACATCTACACAGCTCGTGTCGTTACCCTTTGGCGGCTCCCCCTGGTGGCCCGGGTCCCTCTTGTGTGGCGTGTCCTGGACGCAGTTGAAAATCGGTGGCGACCTCCTGATGTCGACCTGCTGCTGCGTCAGGAAGAAGGGCCGCACTCTGCCCGCCTGAGGGGTGATGTGTTGCTGTACCACATTGTAGCCATAGCGCGTGCCAGAACCATCGAGCCCCTGTGTTTAGGGAGGGCGGGAGGCAGGGAGAGACATGCATAGAGACGCATCGATGCGAGCGGTGCCGATGCATCCATCCGATGGGCAAGTCGTGTGTGTTTGTGTACCTCTACCTCAATGAGTGGCTGCCAGTAGGTGGGATACACGAGCTCGTATGGGTCGTTTACAGGCTTGTAGCCGGTCCAGTCCTCATAAGGCAGGCCATTGTGCTCGTGCAGCATGGTGCCGTCCCTGTTGTATCCGTCGTCGTTGAACCACTCTACAGTCTCCCTCGCCACCAGGTTACCCAGGCCTGCAGCCGTCTCCTCGTCGGCCTCCGTGTCCAACGGATTGTAGCCCAGCAGCGGCATCACTTGCTTAAAAGCCTCAGCTGTACATTCGCATGCCATCCGATCAATCCCACGACCGATCAGTGAGGTGCTCGCTCTTCTGCTGACCTGCTCGAGGTATGAGGATCCTCTGGAATTCGTAACACGCATGGACGCCAGCCTCCTGGCGGTTTCGGTGGGTCCGCATGTGCTTCGGCGCGCGGCGATCGGGGCCAAAGAAGACGTGCCAATCGTCAGTGAAGGCCGCCACGGCGTGGAAGATGGCCACAGTCAGCATCAGGTTGTGGGCGTTCTGAACCGGTGGCTCGTATGTGAGAATGTTCGGCGCCCACAGCGCGATGCACATGAGGGTGGGAATTTCCTTGACGTATTGCAAGAGCCCGACATCGAAGGTATTGGCGAGCACCACACTGGGCATACTGAACACATCCTCCCAGAAGGCACGGGGCAGCCTGTCGGTGAACTCGGCTGAACGACACAACACAACACACAAACAAACAAACGATCGACACCCTTTTACCGTTTGTCTGCCCCGTGTCGGTCTGTACGTACCAAGTCCGAGCCTTGTGAGCGCCTGCAGCTTGCCCTGCAGGCTCTCTGCGGCCTCGAGCGGGCTGAACGGTCCCATGTAGTCGCTCTCCTGCGGCGTAAGGAATCCTCCGCCGAGCAAGTTGCCGGCCGTCAAGTTGCCCCCCGTTTCCAGCCGCGTTTCCGCCGCCTGTCCAGCGGCATGTAGTGGTGGGAAGAGGAGGTCCACGATCTCACCGAGCGGGCTCTTTGGCCTCGCCTCCCCCTTCTCATCCGGACCCTCTGCGCCACAGCGAAAAAAAACAGCCGGGACCAGGAGAAGAAAGAACGCCGCGACCGCCGGCCTGAGCACCGCCATATTCGTTCACCAGCACTCGATTCGCTCAAGCGCTTCACGTCAAGCGGGCTGCGGTTTGCTGCATGACGATCCACTCTACAGTGCCTTGTACGCAAGGGGACTGTTAACCTAGCCGTTGAGTCTTCGTGCAGTGACTTAATCGACGTGTGAGCGGCTGTGAAGCACGTCAACCAGATAGATACACACGATACACACGGGCTCTGAAACTGTGCAGATCTGTGACGAGGCGGACGAGCGGAGCGCAGAGAGTGAGTCGTCGTAGGATTGCCTCGCCGGTCGTAGTTGAGCCGGACGCAGCTGACGTTTCAGCCTGCCAGTGGTGGGGGGTGGGTTTGTCCGACGCCATTCTTCTCGTGCCTGCAGGTTCCACCCACACACACACACAGGGAGAGGAGAGAGAGATACCCGCATCCATCCATCCATCCGTCGATCCATCCGTCCGTCCGTCCGTCCGTCCGTGTGTCTGTCCGTCTGATTTCAAGGCCGGGCCGTCCTCCAGGCCAGTGCCTCGTCCACCTACCATCCCCTCCCGCCCGGCCCACTGCCTGCAACCGTCCAGCCTCGCCCCCCCATCATGCCAACTCTGGAGGCGACGGCAGCCCGAGACCCCTGGACGGGAGCGCTGCCGGACGGTTTGGTGATTGACACAGATGAGGCGGCCAGGGACGGGAAGTGGAGCATCGACCATGTCAGGGCCTTCTGTGTCCTTCGTGCGGGGGAAGCCGTATGGCCCCTCGACTGACAGACAGGGGGGAGGGAGGGAGGGAGGGAGGGAGGGAGGGGGGCAGGGGCAGGGGAGCTATATATATGGCTATCTGGCGCTGTGTAGCGGCAGTTGTGTAGCGGACAGACGGGTCGAGGATACAGCTCATGAGGGGCACACTGATGCTGTATCGCCGTCTGCATGAGGGGCACACTGATGCTGGTTGGTTGCTTGATTGGTTGGTTGGTTGCTTTGGTCTGGGTGGCGGGCGGACACTGTGAATAGTTGACAAAGAACATCACAATGGCCAGTTAGATGAATAATGACTTTGACCATTCGACAGAGCATTCACACATCCAGCGGCTCATCAATCCTTGGTATGTATCGAGCTACACGGGCCTGTGTGGTTCGGTCGGCTATGTAATTAGTTGGCGCAAATACGATGCCCACCACCGGTATTTGGCTTCTCGCTTGTCTTCTATACAATCACGGTATACACGAAAAGTTTTCGTCTGTTTGTTTGTCGCACATGATGACACATATCTGTCTCTCTATCTGTCTGTCTGTCTATGTACAGCGCACGCGTCCATCCACACGGCCAGTAAAGGCAGGCCCGCTGGCCAGCTACTCGAACAGTCTGCGCATCTCCTGCTCGCTCATCTTGATGCCGGTCAACGGGCAACTGCACAACAAACACACACACCCGTATATGCATTATGCCCATCTGGTCCGTCCGTTGCCTTTTCCCCACTCACTGACCATCCGTGTTGCCTGAGGAAGCTGCTCAGGCACCGATAACAATACACGTAACCACTCGACGCACACGCCTGCATCGGCACACAAGAACACCCAAATACCCACACGACCAAAGGCCCGTCTTCTCCCTCCCACTCTCACTCCCCGGGTTTTGCCTTGGCTGGTGGCACAGCGGACACAATCGGGGGTCCTGCGGCAGGGGAGGGGGTGGGGGAGGGGGGGCGCCGGACGATAGACTGTCGGATTGCCCAGACCCTTTGTGCTGCCTGGTGGCGATGAGCAGGGGTGCTGACGGGGGTGGTGGGGGAGGGTCTGCGGCGTCGTGCGGCTGCAGCTGCGCCTCAGTCTCATACCACCACTCAAGCAGACGCAACGCAGATATACCTGGGAAACATACACGCACATGTGTGTCTATGTGAGCTGGCACTGTTGATTGGCTGAAGCACACGCACCAGCGAAGAGGCTCCATGAGATGGCCTCTTGCACGAGAGCTGCCCGCGACCTGCAGACACACACGAGATGGTTGACGGACCGCTCATGTATGTTACGATCTCGTCAGCGTACATGGGCTCCTTCGACTCAGATGGTGGGGGGTCGGGGTGAGACCTGCAGGCAGCACGGCACACGTTGGGCTGTCTGTCTGTCTGTCTGTCTCTCTGTCTCTCTGTCCGCAGTCATTCACCTGAGCACCAGTCCCATGGCCTGCAGGTAGGGCGACCAGAAGGGCCACCGATGCGGGTCCAGCAGATACAGCAACGCATAACCAGCTAGCACGCCCTCGTGGAAGCCGTACACATACGGCAGCGCCGCATCCACTGAGGGACGAAGCTTGGCGATCCGCTCGGATGCGATCCGGTGTATGGTGGCCACATGGCTGCGAATAGAGGCGACGAGGGGATCGGAGGATGCGTGTGGGCGGCTTCGTGGTGGCTGGGGAGGGGAAGGGGCCGATGGCTCGGGTGGCGGGCGGACGACAAAGCGCCATTGAAGAACATACTGAAGCAGACAAGCCGACAGGGGAGTGGGTGTTGCCTCATCGTCAGTTGATGTGCGTACGTACGTCCATCACTCACCTCTTCCATTGCGCTGCGGATAAGAGGGACGAGAATGAGCACAGCAAGCGACGCCAGCCGATGCCGTAAAGGCAGCCGATCGCCGTACTGCAGCTGGTGGGCCTACCACAGCACGCACACACACACACACACACACACACACACATATGACCATCCATATGCGTCCAATCCGTCGCTGCAGTTCTCTTCGCTCGGCATACTTTGAGCTTGCGTTGGTTGTCCACATATCGCAGCGGTGCGTCCCGCCCCCCTTTGTTGGATGTGGTGCCCTTGCCAGGCCACCGCAGCAATGGGGGCGGGTCGATGACCACCTCACGCCGCAACTGGTAGAACCGCTCAGAGAACGAACTCTGTGCACACACGGCCAGACAGAGAGCGCATGACCTGGTGTCATCGACAGAGTGTCATTGTTTGCAGGTTAGTTGATTAGCTTGCCTGGTAGTGTGTGAGGTAATGCCACTCGAGCGCTGCCAGCGCCAGCCAGTACACCACCTCCCAGCGGGTCAGGTAAGGCGACCACAAGGGATACCTGAACACACAAAAGCAACACAGAGATGCATCCGTCTGCTAGATGGGTGGCTGCTGAGAGTACCTGTTGGAGATGACTTGTATGACGAACTTGACGGCAGGCCTGAGGCCCAGCAGCAGCTTGTCCTGTGCCAGCAGCTCAAAGAAGGAGGGAGTGAGGCCACGCACTCCATACAGCGAAGTGATGAATGGATCCATCTCACAGAAGAACTGGGAACGAGTACCACCTACGCCTGAATCGGCGATCTACCCCCATCTGCGAGCTTAGCTGCAAGGAGGGGGAAAGGCTTCTTCCGATGAACGAATGGCAAGGCGTGGAAGAACGGGGAGTGCCGCTGCGTCGCCGGAGAGCAGCCGCGTGTCCAAGATCTCCGACATCAGCGATGGCCTCACCCGAAGGCTCAAGGCACTGGGCATCTTCAAGCTGTTCGACATACAGAGGGCCTGCCTGCAGCCCATACTCGAGGGTACGAGCAAGAAAGACCGATGCCCGATGAATGCAAGATGCCCTGTGCCGTCATCAGGCCACGATGTGATTGGGTACAGCCGCACGGGCACCGGGAAGACGCTGGCATACCTGCTGCCGATATTCCAGCGGCTGGATGCACACAAATGGGCGGCGGAGGAGCCCGTGCTGATACTGACACCCACTCGTGAGCTGGCCGAACAAGTCGCCCTCTCTGCATTCCAGTAAGGGAGAGAGCACACACAGGAGGAAAGGGCACTGCAGAGGAAGAGCTGCATGTGTCCTTGTGTCAGGTTGTGTTCGTCATCCAGCAGTGTGCACGTGTCGCTGCTGACTGGCGGTGAGTCTCTGAAGGTGCAGGAGGCCTCGATGCGGGGAGGCGCACACGTCATCATCGGCACACCCGGTACAAGTCGCATGTGTCAAGCGGCATTCGTTTTCGTGTGTTCCCACTCACTGGCAGGGCGGGTGTGTGAGGCGTGTCGACAGGATGTGCTGAGCCTCAAGGGCCTCAGAGTGGTGGTCAGCAGGTTCATTCAGTGAGTGCAGGTGCGCATGTGACCATCGTAGTGCGTATGTGCAGGTGTTGGATGAGTTTGACGAGCTCATCTCTCGCGGCTTCAGCGAAGGGCTAGACGAAATCCTCAAGCACGGTGGGCGGGCCGTAAGACCGCACGTACCCACCCCCCACCCATCCATGTCTCTCGTTCTTCGCAGCGTCGAACTCGTCCTCGCCGCACCGTCACCAGACGTTGGCCTTCTCAGCGACCGTCTCGCCCTGGCTGCGCGACGCACTCAAGACATACCTCACAAAGCCTATAATCATCGACCAGATTGGCAAAGGTACGCCTGGTGGGTGAGTGGATGGCCTGATTGCCGAATACATGTGTGTGTGCCTTGCTTGTACGCAGGCGAGTCGCCTGTCAGCGATCGGGTGCAGCATCTCAAAATGAAGGTGTGTGAGTGGACAGGGAAGGCGACAACATGGGGATTTGTCATTTGTGTTCGTTGTTCGCTCAACTTACCCACTCAGGTGGCCTCTTCCTCTGACGTCAAGCGTGTGCGTGCTCTGACTTACCTCCTCTCGTCAGCCGGGGAAGACGCCAACAGGTCAGCTAGACGAAGGAGAGAACGGCAGATATGTCTTCACCAGCTGTGTGTCTGCGTGCTTCACCAGGGTGATAATCTTCACGCAGACACGTCACGAGGCCATCATGCTGTCGCAGCACCGTTGGCTGCAGCCCATGTAAGGACACGCGCTGCATGCTCACTCACAGACTCACTCTGTTCCTTCCCGTTTCTTTTCCTCTTACAGAAGCCGTGTATTGCACTCAGAGATGGTCCAGACCGAAAGACAGGACACCCTCACCGACTTCAGGTGACCACCACCCCACACAAGAACAGCTCCCCCACACACGGATGTCACGTGCTTGCATTGGTGCGGCAGGCGTGAGTCCTTCCCCATATTGATCACCACAAACCTGGCGTCGAGGGGGCTGGACTTCCCGGTCAGAAGAGCTACCAGCCAACACACTCGGAGATACATGGCATCGGACACTGTGTGTGGCTGGCTGGTTGTGCAGGGTGTGTCGACAGTGGTGCACTACACGCCGCCCAAGACAGTTGAAGAGTATGTCCACAGGGCCGGCAGGACAGGTACGCCAAAGTGCGCACACACAGACAAACACTAATGGATTGTATCGATTGGTAACGCTGTTGGTGTGCCAGGTCGCGGGATGGAGGGAGGCAAATCTATCGTACTCTACGACGCATCACAGGCATGCCGTATTCTCTTTTGCCCGTTTCTCAGCAAATGATCCATGAATGGACGTCTCGTGTGTGCAGGAGCGGACAGTGGAGCTCATCCAGCGGGGAATCAGGAAGGTCCGTGCACGGAACCAACAACGAAGAGCACACCAGACGCATGACTTTCCCGCGTCTGTGTGGGTAGGTGTTTGGAGAAATGGACGCGCCTGACGAGAGCATCGTGCGTGAAGGGCTCATCAAACGCATGGGTGAACAACAGAACAGAACACGGCTCAGAAAGAGATGCATGAGATGTCATGCATGGTTGCATCAGAGGCTGACCTCGCCCCGTCTGATCGGGTTGACGGCCGGGCGTACATGGAAGAGGCCGACAAACAAATGGACCTGCACGGACCAAAGTAACAGACACAGATAGACAGCTGAGGTGCCCTTCCTGCCCCCATGCACCATATATGTGTGCTGTATGTGTTGCTGCTCATCCATTTATTCATATTCATGTAGGCTGTTGGCGGCCTCCATGGCTCTCCTGGATCAGCGTAACAGGACAGCCTCGTGGGCGTCCCAGCTGTCTGGTCGATTCGGCTACACGCCCATCGTGCTGCATGACCCCCTCATGCAGCACCTACGCTCACGAGCACATGTCATGAGGTACACCTTTGGACACACGCATGGACGCCCGCCATGAGTGTGCACCCGTGGGCGTACGTAGGTTCTTGACCAAGCTGCTCCCCCGCAGTGTGTCGAAGGTCGGGCGGATAGCCATGGTGGCCAAAGTGGGATACCTAGTGGTGAGTGAGCTGGACTACAACAGTCTCAGACATCCCACAAAGGTGGCTCTGTTCGCTGCTGTTTTCGTCAGGACATCCCGGTACAGCACGTGTCTCACGTATTCCGTGCTGTCAAGGCCAGGACGGCCCCAGCTGCCGTGCACGTGTCCATGCTGGCCAGGAACTGCAGATGGCAGTGATCGGTGAATTGATGCAGCCGGGCAGGGGGGTTGGCGACAGGAGTGCTGCGTGTGGGCAATCAGCAGCTGGTTGTCTGTCCCTCAGGTGAGCACTCTAGTATGTCTGGCTTCTTGGTGCAGCCTACACGTGCAGATGAGTTTGCCCGCTGGCAGCCCCCCACGTGGATGTGTTCATCGGGGTGCATGTCTGCGTATGTCCATATATTTGTCGATGAGTGCCGAGAGGAAAATGAGAGGGACATGCGGGTATAGCATGCATTCCTTTTTGAACCACTCGGCCAGGGAGTCGGCCATATGCCGCGTCATTCCGCAGCTGTTGGGCAAAGATCGGACGGCTGTGGGCAGCTGTGGGTCATCTGTTTTTGTTTTTCGCACGCCTCTCTTTTACTTCACTCTCACACAACCTTTTCCCGCTTGCGGCGAGAACTCTTGACGATTCTCGACAGACGGGAGACAAAACCGTTTCACTTGCAGATTATCTATTTCCTCAGCCCTGACCTTCCATCTCCCCCGCTTCTGCGTCTTTTCGGCCGGCTGTCGTCTCATGTGGCCCGCCGCAACCTCTTCCAAGCCTCTCTCACCATCGACGGCTCACCATGCGCCAGTCTTCTCAGTCTCTTCAGCCTGTATCTTCTCTGGCCGCATTGCCACGGTGAGGTGCGGGCTGGAGGACTGCTGCACAAGCAAGAGCGGACGCACTCTTCGGTTGAAGAAACGCGGGGTCACTTTGTCCGTTGCAAAGGGACAACGAGTTGGAGCCTGGTGGTGGTGCGTCCGGGCTGGACAACCCGCCATCTGTCTGTTTGTGGAAGAATGAAGCGTCTCAAACATCAAGGTAGAGAGGGAAGGAAGAGGCAACAGCATCAGCGCAAAAGGCTGTGGAGCAGCAGCAGCAACAAGCAAGTGACGGCAGCAGCAGACACCGCGATGGCGGCAAGCGACAGCCGGACGCTGCTGCATAGCGGCGATGGACAAGAGTATGAGTTGCATGAGAAGCTGGGCGGCGGCACGTACGCCACCACCTACGCAGGCATGTGGAACGGTCGGTCCGCTGCATTCAAGACGCTTCTGCTGCCGACGGTGGCGGACGGCAAAGGCGAGCGCCTCATCGCAGCGACCATCGAGAGGAGCCGCCTCGAAAGCCTGCGGGAGTCGGTCAGCGAGGCGGACCTGACGCCGATAGAGGGCGCCATTCGTCCGTATTCTCGGGGCCGAGACCGACGAGAACCACCCGGCTGTGCTCGTTAAAGGCGGGAGGGAGACGCCGTGTCTGTTCGTCGCGATGGAGCAGGTGCCAGCAGGTATGTGAGGTGCGTGAGACAGACAGGGAGGGAGGGAGGGAGGGAGGGAGGAACGCATGGATTTGCTTGTGTGTTTGCTTCTTCGCTTGCTGTTATTGTCTGTATGTGTGTGTATCTGTGCCTTTCAGATGCGTACATGGGGATGGATGAATTTGTGAAGCTGCACTCCTTCACGGCCATATCGGCCCGCTTCCAGCAGCGTCCCATCCCCCCCAACTGCACACCCCAGGTCGCCAACGACACGCTGGCGTGACGGCGGGGGGCATCGATTTGTCCGTGCGCTGGCTGACGCGTGGTCTGTGGCACCTCACGAGGTGCCACAGATCGCTGCTGTCGCTTGGCGTCATCTGCCCCGACAACTTCCTGAAGGACATGTTCCTGCACAAGAAGGAGCTCAGCAAGAATGAGCTGCCGCCGCCGTCCCCGGCACACACCACTCCCTCCGATGACCTCCTCCTCCCCAGCATCGGAGCCATCATGATAGACCTCGCCAGCAGCGTCCGAGCCACGCACAACCTTCCCAGCCGGCTGCAATGTGAGCCCGTCACGGCGACGAGCAAGATGCGCCCCCCCGCCCGAATCCAGAGTCCGTGCGCCGCTGACCCCTTGCTGCTGTCGCAGCAGGTGGCGGAGCAGCAGACTCCCAACGGCACGCCGGCTGCGCTGGACGAGGTGACGGCGCTGGTGCTGGCGAGGGCGTGGCAGGAGGAGGGCAGCTCCCCGGGCAGCATGACGGAGGGCGAGCAGAAGGCGTTGTGGGATGCGTTGGCGAGGGCCGAGAGGCGGATGAGGGGGGCGGGAGACGGGAGGGTGTTTGAGTGCGACGGTGGTGGCGAGAGTGTGTGGATGGATGAGCAGACGGCTGTGGACGGCATCGGGCAGCTGATTCTTCGGCTGCTTCGCAGCGACACCATCGTCCCGATGGTCGTCCCGCCGACCCGAGGCAACGCGACGGCCGAAGACGACGCGAGAATAGTGGAGGGCATGTGTGCCAGAGCAGCGCTGGATGGCCTCGAGACATTTCACAAGACGACGAACCCCCACACAGGCCTCCCCCACCAGCCCCCATCAGCGCATGCCGTCCCATCGCTGCTGGACCGGATCAATAGCGAGCCGCATCTGACGTGGGTCAAGGGCGTGGCGGCTTGGCCGGCCAATCTGGCGCGCCACGCATGCCACCCCGACCTGAGTGGCCGGCGGATCACCCTCGCGGACATCGAGAGAAGCCTCTACGCGCTGCACGAGCACTTCTTAAAGGAGAACTTCGTCGTGCAGGCGAGTGTGTGGGAGGCCGAGGCGACAGCCGACCAGGTCATGGACCTCGCCACGACCGTCGCGGACGAGCAGGTGGGTCATGTCGTGTGTTGCATCGTGTGAGGGAGAGAGGGAACGAGGATGGGAGTCAGAGTGTGTGCCTCTTTGGGTGCGTGCTTGTTTCTTTGCAGGGGTGTGTGCCTTTCGTTTCGCTGTTCCGTGGCGCAGCGTTCAGACAGCCACCCCAGCCGCCAGTCACAGCCACACCCGTCGCAGCCACAGCCGCCGCCGCCGCAGCAGCAGGGTCACAGGTCGACACGGACAGCGCCCCCCCTGCGCGTTCGCTCCCTGATGCGCCACCAGCAGCCGTTCCCGGACGGACCCCACTGGCGACACCACCAGCAGAGTTGGAGTCCCCCGGACGGGCACCGCTGGCCCCACCACCAGCAGCAGAGCTGGGCGGCGGCACGTACGCCACGACCTACGCAGGCATGTGGAACGGTCGGTCCGCTGCATTCAAGACGCTTCTGCTGCCGACGGTGGCGGACGGCAAAGGCGAGCGAGACAACAGTATCATCGCAGCGACCATCGAGAGGAGCTGCCTTGAGAACCTGTGTGAGTCGGTCGGCGAGGCGGACCTGACGCCGATTGAGGACAGGCCGACGAGGGCGCGTCCGCATTCTCGGAGCCCAGACTGACCACAACTGCCCGACTGTGCTCGCTAAAGGCGGGAAGGAGACGCCGTGTCTGTTTGTCGCGATGGAGCAGGTGCCAGCAGGAGTGGCGAGTTGGAGAGTTAATGAGCGGGGACTCGTTAACTGGAGAGTTAAGGGAGGGAGGATGAGAGAGAGGGCAAATCGCTGACTACGTTTTATATTGTGGTGTCTCATACGACCTCAGCACCGCGCCACCAGGTTGATGTGTCTGCTGAAGTTTGGCTTGTGGGTGTGAGCAGTCCGCTGTGCATGCCATTTGTTTGCATCCCAGACGGATGAAAGGACACTGAATGGATATTTAACCCATCTATGCTTGAGAACTTGTGCGTCTGGATGCCGTCTTGAATGTAGACGCCAAAGAGGATGACAATCAGCAAGTCCGGCCCATCCTCCACACGGTCCAGCAGATCGTCATAGCTTGTGCCGTCCACAGAGGCCCTGTATGACACACAGAGACACACACACACACACACACACAAGCGACAGACAGCTACTTGCTCTTGTGCACGAACACATCTGTGTGCATGAGGGTGATGTACCGATCTGTAGAGGGTGGTGAGGTCGTATCGTTTGTTGCCTCACGCAGGCCACGGAGGCCCTCATATTCTGACGCCAGTTAGGAATCACCACAGGGAGACGTTACAGGAACGCACACATTAAGACACACCACGACGGCGACCTTCATATACGTATGTGTGTGCATGCTATTGGGTGGCGTTGCTCAGCCACGTCACGGCCGTATGATTTGTCCCACTCCACTTGGCGAAATGCATCATTCAATCAGAAAGTGCCTTTATCAAGTGATTGCACAGTCGCGTCTGCACAGTTGGGTCCACCACCGCACACATTACACACACAGGGCACCTACACACACCGAGAGAGACCTCATGCACACTGCACAAAAAATATGGTAGTTTCGCAGCGCAGGCGGTTCTCGAAAGTGACACC